AGAAACCACAAGTTAACGAGCGCCACGCGACCCGCTGTAGGGGGTCGTCGTTCAGTTGATAGTTCGGTATTTTTCCTTCGGTACTTTGGGTGCGAACGTCGATGCCCCCAGGCCTACCAATTACGTTGTGGTTAACCGCAAACCGCAGACCCCTGGGTGGTTAATGGCTGCCACACTCCGAGGGCCGGGTGGTCGACCGTTCGGTAGTTTGCGGGGTGACGGGGTTAAGTGGCGGCACACGCCAGTTTCTGGGGGGTCCCCCGTTCGTACCACGAATGGAGCTTTCATACGGGTTCGCGTAATCCATTCGTGTGGTTTTCTGCTTAACTTATGCAGTGGCAAACAGTATCAATCGGTGGGTTAAAACAGTAGCATAGTGATTTCCAGTCTTTTGTAACATGGGGGGCTGCTTGGGAAGTGGCGGTCATAGAGTGAGGGGGGATATGGGGGGCTCGGGAAGTGGCGGTCATAGAGTGAGGGGGGGCTTTGGAAGTGGCGGCCATTCGTCTGATATGTCTAGCCATTCATTGGTCTCTCTGATGGACGGATGAAATTCCCGTTCGCATGTCCAAGTGATTAACTGGGCATGGCGGGAATCTCACTGCGCTAATTAGTGTGGGCAGATAACGTGTCCCACAGGGCCTTCCTCTACCCACACAAAGATGGCGGCGCCCAGGACCTAGGTGCGGGCAGAATATAAAGATAAAAAAATAGGTAATATGGGGGGGCTTAGGGGCATTTGGGGGTCACTAGGGGGACAATTAGATGTAGTGGAGTCAGAAGGGGGGGGTTAAAAAAAACAAAAACTGGATACGGCCATGACAGTGCCGCTTTAAAAACATTTTCTTACACCAGATGCTACCAAGGAGCTTGTCCATGCTCTAGTAATCTCTCGCATGGATTATTGTAACCCTCTCCTGATTGGTCTTCCCTAAAGCCGTATTGCCCCCCTACAGTCTGTAATGAATGTCGCCGCCAGACTGATTTTCCTCTCTAGTCGGTTCTCTCACACCTCACCCCTCTGTCAGGATTTACATTGGCTTCCTGTATGCTATTGGAGTCAATCCAAAGTGCTAACCCATGCCTATAAAGCACTGAATAATCTTAGCCCCTCTTATATCTCCTCACAGATCCATAGGTATGCCCCTTCTCGGTCTCTCCGCTCTGCCCGTGACCTTCTTCTGTCAGCTGCCCGTACCCGTACGGCCAACTCACGCTTGCAGGACTTCTGGCAGGCGGCTCCCGTCCTATGGAATAGCCTGCCTACCGACATCAGTCTCTCCCCTAGTCTTCAATCATTTAAGGAGTGCCTTAATAACTAATCTCTTTAGGAAAGCTTATGACCTCCCAAAGTAACCTCTACCTCACATACCTGTCTCTTGTTCTCTCCTAGGGCAGCACTCTACTCTCTCCTCCAGCTCTGCTTCACTCCCAACTTATTTGATTGCTATCTCCTGTCCTGTTGTGTTTTTTTTTTTTTTTTAATTTTTATTGGGAAATAATGCAAGATTACAACATCTGTTTTGCAGTATACAATCTGGTATCAACGAACTTTTGTATGTCATACATTGTTACCATGCTTGAGAGTCCAGAACGGTTGTGGTAACTGTTCGAGAACGTTACGTTTTAGCATTCGTTTGTGTGCGGTACCCTTGGACAGAGTACTCGAGTGCGGTTTGATTTTAGTCGTTGTTCACTTTGCATGGGTGGTGTGTTATTAACATACAAGTAGAAATCAAAACATAACATAACATAACAGTACCTTGGGGTGGGTGATGAACTTTCCTGGTATAGCTAGTATGTACCATCATGGCGTAGAACCTCGTCAGTGTGGATTGTTGCGTTGTGGTAGATTTGTCTGTTTGGATATGTGGGTCTAAAGCTTTTGTGGAGGTGTGTTACGTATGAAAGTTAACCATGGTTCCCAAGTGGCCGTGTAGTCGTGGTATTTGAGAGAAAAGGAGTACGCTAGCTCCTCCATTTCTCTGATACCGTCTACCCTTTCTATCCAGGCTCTGAACGTAGGGGGTGCAGTTTGCTTCCATTTGGTTGGGATGATGGCGTTTGCTGCCGTTAAAAGGTGGTTGATCAGTGTGCGTGAGTGTTTGGGTAGGGGGCTGGGGTACATTAAAAACAACAAGACTTTAGGGTCTTGGGGTAGTTTGTGTCCCGTGATAGTGCGAATAACGTTCGTTATCTGGGCCCAGAATTTACTTATTATTGGGCATTGCCACCAGATGTGGCTTGTGGTTCCCTCCGCTTTCTTGCACCTCCAGCATGTGTTTGGTGCGTTTGGGAAGAATCTGTGGATGCGGGTTGGTGTGTAGTGCCATCTGGCTATTCATTTGTAATTGCTCTCATGTGTGCTGTTGCTTTTGGATGTGCGGAAGACATTGGCGAATATTTTATACCACTCTTTGGATTGCATTTGTATCCCCAGCTCTGTTTCCCACTTGGATGTATAGGTATTTAGGAGTTCGTCCTTTCGTCGGCATAATTGTTTATAAAAGGAGGATATGTGGCCCCTCCGGATGCTGTGTTGTGCGCATTGGGTCTCGTATAGGGTGTGGGTTCTATGGCCTTGTGATAGTGGTGGATTTGTGCTTAGAAAGTGTTTGAGTTGCTCGTGTCTCAGTCGCGTCATTCCTGTTTGCGATTCAGTGGGTAGTAGTTGTTCAAAGGGAGTGACCCCCTGGTCTGTTAGGACATCTCCCAAAGTCAGTGTATGAGCTTGTTTGGGGAAGTTTCTAAACGCCCTGTGGTCCATGCCTGGGGGGAAGGAGGGATTTCCCGTTAGTGGGTAGAGTGGTGATGGATGTGGTGCTAGGTGTTTGTCTCTTCTAATGGTCGACCAAAGTTTCACTGTGTGTGTGATTTGTGGGGTGAGAGGTCCCTGAGCGCGTTTTCGTGTCGGTCTTGTTAGCGAGCCAGGGTATGGCATATATCGGTGTCGCGAGAAAGCTGGCCTCAATCTGTACCCATTGGGCTGTGTTTTTAGGGTATGACCATTCATAAATCCTCGTGAGGATAATGGCTTTGTGGTACGTTTCCAGATCTGGTAGGCCTAGTCCTCCTCGTTGTTTGCTTTTTGTGAGGCATTTGTATTGTAGCCTCGGGGGTCTACCTGACCATATAAAGTTGTTGAATAGTCGCCTGGAGAGGGAGAAGAAAGGCCTTGGTATTTTAATAGGCAAGGTTTGCATTATATATAGAAACTTGGGGAGAATCATCATCTTTAAGATGTGGATTCTGCATAGCCAACCGAATTGTGGTTTATTCCACGATTTGAGTTCGGTATCTACTTTGTTTAGAAGGGTTGTGTAGTTAAGGGCGTATAGGCGTGACAGTGTGGTTGTGAGTTGGACTCCCAGATATCTAATTGACTCTGTGGGCCAGTGGAATGGATAGGTGACGCGGAACGCTGTTTGTGTGGTGTTCGGTATGTTGAGCGGGAGTATCTCGCTCTTGCCCATGTTTATTTTGTAATTGGAGACTGCATTATATGCCTCTATCTCTTGTATAAGGTGTTGTAGGGATGTTTTTGGATTAGATAGGGTGAACAGTAGGTCGTCCGCAAAATCGGAGACCTTGTATTCTTGCTCTGCTATTTTAATGCCAGATATGTTTGGGTTGTCTCTTATTCCTTGTAGGAATGGCTCCATGGTGAGGATGAAGAGTAGTGGGGAGAGGGGACAGCCTTGCCTTGTACCATTGGTTATTTGTACGGTATCTGACAATTGGCCGTTCACACGTACTTTTGCTCCCGGTTTTGAATATATGGCTGCGAGCCATTGTATCCATTGTTGGCCGAAGCCCAGAGTTTTCATTGTGGCCATGAGGAAGGACCAGTCTACCCTATCAAATGCCTTCTCGGCATCTATAGTTAGAATGAGGCTCTGGGGTCCTTTTCCTTTGGCTGTGTGTATTAGGCTTAGGAGTTTCGTAGTGTTATGTTTGGCCTCCCTATTCGGTACAAACCCTGATTGATCCGGGTGTATCAGTCCGCTCAGGAGTGGTTTCAGCCGGTTGGCCAGAATCTTAGTGAAGATTTTCAAATCACAATTTATTAGAGAGATTGGGCGGTAGCTCCCACACTCCTCTATGTCCTTTCCGGGTTTGGGGATCAATGTGATGTGGGCTTCTAAGGATTCTACTGGGAGTTTGTGTCCTAAAGCCAGTGAATTGAAGGCAGTGACAAAGGGTTTGCAGAGCAGATTTGTGAATGTTTTGAAGTACTTGGTAGTGAAGCAGTCGGGTCCTGGGCTCTTGCCTATGGGGAGGTTTTTAACTACCAGTCTAAATTCTTCGTCTGTTAGGGGTCCTTCAATAGATTGTCTTACGTTTGTGGGGATCGTTTGCGTGATTCTGTTAGAGAGGAAATGGGTAATTTCCTCTGGTCGTGGTGGCGTCTGTCTGAGGTTATACAGGTTTGTGTAGAAGGCGTGGAATTCTTTAAGTATGGCTGGGAGTAGGTGAGTGCGTGTCCCGTCTTTGCTTTTGATCGTGGTTATGTATGTGCGTTGCGTGTTTTGCTGAAGGGCTCTGGCTAGCATTCGCCCGCATTTCCCTCCTTGAGTGTAAAATGAATATTTGGTGTGAGTGAGTGATCGTTTGATTTTGGAATTTAACAGGGTTTGTAGGGTTGTGCGTTTGTCAACTAGTTGTTTATAGAGGTCTAGGGAGAGGTTGTGTTTGTGTGTCTGTTCAATTAGGCGGATATCTCGCAGGAGATCAGTGATTTGGGCATCTTTCTTTTTCTTGAGTTTGGAGGCTATAGCTATGATGTGTCCTCTCATTACTGATTTATGAGCTTCCCAGGTTATTGTCGGGGATATGGACGGGGATGTATTTTCCTCAAAGTAGTGTTGTAGTGTGGTTGTTAGCGTATCGACCGTGGCTGTGTCATTCAGCATGGTGTCATTTAGTTTCCATTGGAAGTTGTTGGGTGTCAGAGTTGGGATTTGAAAAACTAGAGACAAGGGGGCATGGTCCGACCATGTGATCAAGCCATACTCACATGATTGAATTAAGTGTATATGTCTGTGAGGAACAAATAGCATGTCCAGACGAGAGTATGTGTGTTTGACCGTTGAGTAAAAAGAGTAGTCTCGTATTTGTGGGTGTATGGTTCTCCAGCAGTCGAATAAATAAGATTTGTCTAATAGTCTGGACATCGTGGTTCTGGTAGCGGCGTTGTATGTCGTGGAGCTGGAAGTAGTGTCTAATTCCGAGTCAAGGGACATGTTTAGGTCACCTCCGAGTATAAGAATGCCTTCGACATGTTTTTCGATTATGTTGAGGTATTTGCGTAGATGCTTGTGTTGTTTGGTATTTGGCAGGTAGATATTTGTGAAAGTTACAATTGTATTGCCAATTTTGCCTTTAATTATGAGTAGCCTACCGTTTGGATCTGTGTATTGGTACGTGTGGGTATATGGTGTTTGTGCCCCTATGAGGATGGCTACTCCTCTGGATTTTGCGTCCGTGTAGGAGCTGAAATATCCTGTGGGGTAGTGTCTGTTGCGAATAGTGATGGTGGAGTCTGCTTTTAGGTGGGTCTCCTGAAGAAATGCCACATCAGCTCTAAGTTTTTGGAGTTCGTGTAGCGTTAGTGCTCTTTTTGTCGGGGAGTTAAGACCCCTGACGTTGAGGGTAACTATGTTGAGGTTTGCCATGATGGAAATTGTGTGAACTGTGTGATCTGTCGTTCACGTATTGTGTACCAGGGGAAGATAACCGATAACAAATGAACTATGTACAAAATTGTGTGTAGGCAGGTGGAGCAAGAAATTGAGATGTTTGGTGTTGACGGGAAGGGTTGGCAGCCTTGTCTGTCGGTGGCTTTCCCCTTGAGAGGCTTTGGGGCCTTTGGGGAGTTGCACGGGCACCGCTTTGGCCGCTCAGGTCTTTCCACCTGCTATCGAGGTTTTATTTTCGTGGGAGGTGGTAGGTTGGGGTGTTGTTATTAAATGTCTCGCCAGAGACGGGCAATCCTATGGATAGTTGTCAGTAGTGAGTAGTGGATCAGGCAAGGGGATCAAATTAGTGGGACAGGTAAGATTGTGTGTTTGTGGAGCAGGTCGGTTTTAGAGGATATGATCCAGAAAAGGGGGGGGGGCTGGGAGCTGCTTGCCTCTAGTGGGTTGCCTAATAGTCTAGGGGTAGGCTTTATGTGTCCCCTTGGGCAGGGGCTCTGCCTCGTAGTTGGAGGAGGCTTGCATCTCAGTTGATTGCTCGGGTGTGCATAAGAAGTGTAGAGTGAGACAAATATTTTTCCCATAACATTTGCAGCTCTCCCAAAGAACATAAAATAGAAAACCATCCATTAATTGACACATCATGGTATACATTTCCCGGTAAGACAATCAATCAGATCTCAATTGACCTCAGGGGCATTCCTTGAGGTTGTTGCCAAGGGGAAGAGGGGTTAGTAGTGAGGGAGTGGGGAAGGGGACAGGGGAGTGGAAGTGGTATACCGTTACCCGAGATGCCACTCAGTGTGTTTATGAGAGTGGTAGATTATTAGGCTAAAGGGGGAGGGGGGGCTGGGGTGATTTAGGGGGTGAGGGGAGGCCTTATGCTTGTCAGCAGAGCCTGTACGTATACATTCATTTACGGTAAAACATACATTTTTTTTATTTTATTTTTTTTTTATTTTATTTTTTTTATTTATTTTTTTCTCATACCCCTCCGGAGTGCCATTGCCTCATGTTTCTGTGTGTCCTCGTCCCTGCTGACAGTATGTGGTCTTTCAGTCCAGAACCAGTGTCATCTAGGAGTGTCGGTAGAATGGAGAGTCTCCTTTTCATAGAGCTCGCGGACCGGAGCAAATCTAGGTTGTCGTGGGAGATGTCCTGATTTGTAGGTTTTCTTGTGATGCTCAAGTATTGTGTCCCTAGGGTGGGGCCTTGAGATGCAGTCTCTGTGGGTGGGTTTCTGGATTATTGGTGGTCGTTATAGATCTCTAGACCTTAGTTGGGTCCTTGTCGATTGGGGCAGTGATTTCTTAGCTGGTGGTCGTCGTCACGTGCCTTGGGTCCCATCGAAGGGCCGGGGGGCCTGCTCTCGGTCTGGGACCTCCTTGGTGGTGCATTTGGTCGTTGCTTCTGCATTTGGATGGCGTCTGCCCTCTTTGCTTGTGGGTCATCTGCAAGCGATTTGGGGGTTGTAGCGGCCCATACCAGTCTGGTATGTATATGTCCGGTAGGTCTAGGGCCGAGGTGAAGACCCGCACGTCCTCTGCTGAGGATAGAGTTGCTGTTGTACCATTATGCGTGGCAGTAAGGGCCAGAGGGAATCCCCAGCGGTATCTTATGTTCCTAGAGCGCAGTAGGTCTGTGAGGGGTTTCATTGTCCTCCTCGCCTGCAGCGTCATCCAGGAGAGATCTGGGAAGATTTGCACAGGTGCCTCATGGAATAGCAGCAGTTGTGTCGTCTGGCGGAGATTTCTGAGTATGTCCTCTTTAATAGAGTAGTAATGCAGTCTGCACACTATGTCTCTGGGTGCCTCTGCCATGGGGTTTCTGGGCCTGAGTGCCCTGTGGGCTCTGTCCAGTGCTATAGGGGTTGATACATCTCTTTGCAGTATAAGATTAAATAGCTCTTGGAGGGTTACCTTTAAATCTTCCCCCTCTTTTTCTGGGATGCCCTTTATTCTTAAATTGTTTCTGCGCCCTCTGTTATCTAAGTCATCTATCATTCTATTCATGGATGCTATTTGGGCATTTTGTGCTGTTAGTGTACTTTGGAGATTTTGCATTTGTGTGGCTGTGTAGTCTTGGTCGCTTTCTAGTAAGCTGACCCTTTCACTGACCTGTGTTACTTCTGCTGTGATGGCGTCCATTTTTTTCTGGAAAGTCACCTCCAGTTTTTGCAGCATGTTTGCAAGGTCTTGCTTAGATGGGAGGTTTCTCAGAATCTCCCTCAGGTCTTTGTCTTTTTCCCTGTCCAGATCCTGTGACAGTGTGTCAGATGCTGCAGGGCTGGATGGGGGTGATTGGGAGAATTCATCCGGCGCCATATTGGGGCCGGCATGGTCGGGCTGCTGGTCGCCGTGATCTTTGAAATATTTGGTGAGCGCTCCGGTTTTCGGCCTATGTAGTTTGCCGGCTTGTTGGGAGGCTGTGGACATTCTTTTGGGGTGTCCCATTTTGTTAATTAAGCCTGATGGCTGCGGATTGCCCGTCGTGGCGCTCGGAGCTCCGTTTTCAAGCGGCCATTCGCGGTCGCGGCTAGCTCCGCCCCCCGTCCTGTTGTGTTTTATACCCCACCTCCTATAGACTGTAAGCTTGTTTGAGCAGGGCCCTCTTTAACCTTTTGTTCCTGTAAGTTTTTGTAATTGTCTCATTTATTGTTAAAGCTCCCCCTTTGATAATATTGTAAAGCTCTACAGAATATGCTGGCGCGATATAAATACCAGTTATAATAATAATAACAAAGATCTTCTAAGGTGTATTTCGTAAAGCTGCTGTGTGCTATTCATGTACCAAACCTCATTTTGTGTTCAGCTACATCTGCTGAATACAACGATACTCCCATTGTATGCCTTTGGCTACAGTGCCATTTAGGAGACCTGTCCATTTCAGCATTTACAGTAGAATTTTGAGAGACGGATTTAATGGGCCTATGTTTCAATGTGGGGCATTATAGCAGTTTGACTGTTCAAAAAAACCCCACCAAGGCCTTACATTTCTTAAAGTTGATACCCCACGGTATTTCAAAAGGCATATTTTAAACCTCAGCGTAGAATAATATTTTTGCTAGTTTGTACCAAGTCTAGTAGCAATTAGCATTTCTTCTGCCTTTTTGACACACACTTGGAGATGTTACTGTATATTTTGCAATCCTTATGTGTGCTACGGCATTATGTTGCTCGGCTATGTCGTCTTAGTATAACCATACCCCCATGTGTATCTTTTTCTTGGATATGTGGATGTTTAAGGGGCACGTTTGAGACCAAGCCATATTGATTTTTTTTCATACTTTGAATTTTGACGCTTGGTCCATGTCCAATATAGAGAATTTTAGCAGGTTGTTAATACACTACCCCACAAAGGCCTACCATTTCTTAAAGGACCACTCTAGGCACCCAGACCACTTCAGCTTAATGAAGTGGTCTGGGTGCCAGGTCCTTCTAGGGTTAACCCATTTTTTCATAATTATAGCAGTTTCAGAGAAACTGCTATAATTATGAATGGGTTAAGCCTTCCCCCTAATCCTCTAGTGGCTGTCTCATTGGCAGCCACTAGAGGCGCTTGCGTGCTTCTCACTGTGAAAATCACAGTGAGAGCACGCCAGCGTCCATAGGAAAGCATTGTAAATGCTTTCCTATGAGACCGGCTGAATGCGCGCGCAGCTCTTGCCGCGCGTGCGCATTCAGCCGGCGGGGCGTAACGGAGGCGGAGAGGAGGAGGAGAGCTCTCCGCCCAGCGCTGGAAAAAGGTAAGTTTTTACCCCTTTCCCCTTCCAGAGCCGGGCGGGAGGGGGTCCCTGAGGGTGGGGGCACCCTCAGGGCACTATAGTGCCAGGAAAACGAGTATGTTTTCCTGGCACTATAGTGGTCCTTTAAAGAAGATATTGATCACTGTAATAACCTGCATCAAACTCTGAGGCACTGCCTGACAACTCTGTCTGCTGACAGAATTCAGAATCCTTCTCGGCACTGAACTTCCTAAGCATTTTGAACTTTTTACACAAGAACTTTAACTAAATAATGTTATAATATTTTAACCCCTAGCGTAACACTAAACTCCCCAATTTCCCTTGAATTAAAAAGCACCCTAGTTAACTAAATAAAATTAAAACAAATAATCAGAGTCAGAGGTCAGAATTGCAGCAGCCTCCTTGGCTCTGAATGTTGTCAGCAACTTTAAAATGGAAGAACCAAATACATTTGTTTTAAAAAAAATAAAAAAATAAACTGTGCACATAAAAAGGTTGCCTGTAGTACCTCTGTAATGTCTTGTATAACTTGGCTGTACAATGTGTGTTAATGTATGTGTACTTTGAATTTGTATGCTAGCAGCCGAAAGCCGCTAGCATTCAAGTGCTTCGTTTCACGAACAGCAACTTTACCGGCTGTTCGTGAACCGAATGAGCCACCCCCTAATAGCCCACACACAGAGGGACGTGTGGCGCTCGTTAACCGATTGCAACAGTGTTGCAATCGGTGATTAAAGGCTTTCCTAGGTGGACGTCGTTCGGCTACCGATCACCAGCTGGGTTTGGTCGTCAAGCGCGTGGAACTGAAAACGGCTACTCGACGGCGCGAACCCCGCTGGACTTCCAGGCCATTCAGGAGCTCTGGTATTCCCCTATTACGGTTTCCCATAGGTGTTCGTAGTTTCAGGCAAAGTGTATTTCGTGCGGCGTTCGGTTATTTTAGCTGGGATCTGAGCGGTATTCTCACAAAAGGTGCGCTCAGACCCCAGCTATCTACCGAAGTCCATTCTTTAAATCACCCAAGTATTGTAAAAATATTTTAATGTGGAATGTCGGTTCTGCTGCACGGAGGGATAATCCACTTAACGGTACATTCCAGTGGGAGTATCCCTCTCGTCCAGCAGTGCTTGATGGGAGAAAAGGTCTGAATGTTAAGTCCCCCATGAAGTCCCCTACTGTATTACCCCTGCTAGGTCAGTATGGAAACCCCTTGCATGGGGACTTGCATAAATACTGGATGCTGTGAATAAAAACCTCAGTTGACTCCCAGAACTGTGTCTCGTCCGGTTACTGGGGGATTTGGGATATTGCCTTACTTTTCAGTGCTGACTGTGGATTACCTTCTTTACCAGCGGAGATCGTGGGATTTAATATTGCCGCTCCGCTACAATGGAAAGATTGTGAGTTAATAATCCTTTTTTGATATTCCTGATGTGTTCCGCAATTCGTATTTTTAAAGCTCTTTTAGTGCGTCCAATATATTGCTTGACCCTTGCCCAAGCCTAGTCCCTCAGGTAAGAAATATATTTTGACCGTAGTGGACTACGCCACCCGGTACCTCGAGGCCATCACCCTCTCTAATATTCATGCCGAAACTGTGGCCGAGGCCTTAATGAAAATAATCTCCAGGGTAGGGTTCCCCCAGGAGATCATATCTGATAGGGGTACCCAGTTCACCGCTGAGGTCACCCAACAACTGTGGAGGATATGTGGCATTAAGCCGATAGTAAATTCAGCATACCACCCCCAGTCCAATGGTTTATGCAAGAGGTTTAATGGTACCCTGAAGCAGATGCTCCGTACGTTTGGAGAAGCCCATAAGGACTGGGAGCGATTTCTACCCCATCTGCTCTTCGCTTATAGAGAGGTACCACAGGAGTCGACCGGATTTTCCCCGTTCGAATTGTTTGGGAGAAGAGTGAGAGGGCCGTTGGACCTAATTAGAGAGCATTGGGAGGGAGAGAGTAGCTCCGATGGGACCCCCATTGTACCTTACGTGTTGGAGTTCAGGGACCGCCTAGAGGCCCTAACCCAGGCCGTGCGCACCAATCTCCAGGTGGCCCAAAAACAACAGCGCCGCTGGTATGACAGGGGAGCCAGAGACCGCAGCTTTCATGTGGGACAGAAAGTGTTGATTTTAAAACCTGTCCGCACCGACAAGCTGCAGGCCATCTGGCAAGGCCCATACCAGGTGGTGGAACAGAGATGTGACACCACTTATGTGATTGGCCCCTGCTCAGGGGTAGGGAAGAGACGCATGCTCCACGTGAACATGCTCAAACCCTATCATGAGAGGATAGAGGACGTGGCAGCAATATGCGCCTCTGAGGATCAGGAGAACCTGCCGCTACCTGACCTATTAGCTACAATATATATACGTAAAATATAGGCAAGCACTCACAGTCTTGTAGTTTAAAAATCATCTTTATTCGGTTATATGATTAAAATCTCGACGTTTCAGTCCACGTCCTGGGCTTTCTTCAGGAAACAAAAACAATAACATATCAGCCTAAAGTGCTGCAATATATACCCATAAATAGGAGGAAAAGAGAGGAGGAAATTAAAGAAATTAAACTCACCACAGGTGATGTATGTTTGCCAGATCGGCGTGTGCTTTGAGTCTGTGCGTCTGCATAGGGGTATCACAACCCGCAAGTACTGTGCGGGGACGTTATTTCCAGCGCTCAGATGAGCTCGGTGCATGTGCACATGCATGGGGGTATCTTAACCCGGAAATATTGTGCATAGACACGACCTTGTTTACATGGTTACATGCCCTCGCAAGAGGGCACCATGGAAACCATAGTAAACAATAATAAAGTGCGGTGCAAAAATAAGACATCGGAGAATTAGAACTACTTGATATATGTGTAATGCCATCAATAGAGAAACTAAATATAGTGCTAGTACATATATGGGAGCAGGTACTATGCCTTAAGCCTATGTTAGTAAAATGTCAAAAGTTACAAAGTGAAACTGTGCATAACAAAGCATGTGAAATAACTAAATATGTATGCATGCAATATGCTAGTGAAAAATAGAGATATAGAATAGAGAATTCACATATATCTGTGTAATAAACTAGTACTATATATTAAAATGGCTGAATGAGACTATTATATAGGTACACAAGTAAGATTTAAGTTGTAGAGATATATTCTTGTGTAACAAAAATATATAATCAAAAAGGCAAAAAAAACTGTAAAGTTCCAAGAAAGATATCATAAAGGGAAAAAATATAAAATAATAATAATTGAATAAAGATTTAAAAAAAAAATGAAAATTAAAAAATATGGATAGAGGACAAAGATGAGATGAATTGATGTGCATCATAAATAAGGGTGATATGAAATCACTTCATTCAGTCCGTTGGAGGAAACAGTGTTGAGCTCGTAGATCCAGAATGTCTCTTTCCTTAATAACAAATTATCCCGGTCCCCGACACATTGTGGTTGTGGTATGTGATATATTGCCACAAATGTAAGAGTTGCAAGAGGATGTTTCTTCTCCAAAAAATGTTTAGCGACCGGTTTATCAGAGGAGCCATCTCGGTATGCTGTTCTGATGTTAGATCTGTGACCCCTGATATGATCGCAAAGGGGAGTGATGGTTTTACCAATATAAGCAAGTCCGCATGGGCAAGATATCTTATAAATGACGTGTGTTGTCTTGCAGGTAATAGTGTGACGGATATTATATCGTTTGTTGTTGTGAGGATGGTTGAATGTACGTGACGGGGCCATGTGGCCGCAAGTGACACAACTAAGACATCTCACGCTACCCCTGACTTGTTTAGTCAATTTGGGTTGATAGCATATCACTGGGTCTGTCTTAACCAGCATGTCACGCAAATTTTTGTTACGTCTATGGCATGTCATAGGTGGCTCCTTGAACACTTTGGGTAATGTGTTGTCAGTAGACACCATTTTCCAATTGTTTTTGACAATGTTGGAAATCAGTGGAGATTTGTTTGATGGGTCATAGGGAATACCATCCTGGGGGTCATAGAAGGACTTTTTGGGGTGTGTGCATTCTTTGCCTTCTGTAACGCTGCTGATAAAATTTGTCTACTATACCTCCGTTGAAGAAATTTGTTGGTCATATCAGTGATTTGGATTTGCCTGAGCTGGTCCTTGGAGTTATTGCGAATGACTCGACAGTATTGAGCACAAGGGATAGATTTGATCAAGGACGTTGGATGGGAACTTTCGTGATGTAAAATGGTATTACGATCAGTGGGTTTAGAATATAGGCTGTATACCACTTTATTATCCAAGATCTTGAGTTCCAAATCTAAGAAGTGAACTGTCTCTCACTGCTGATGTTTGCTGTCATCCGTACTGGAGATGCAAGACCTTTGGGGTGTTCAACCATTGTATAGGCTTGTTGTTCATTTCCATGCCATATAATGAACAAGTCGTCAATGTAACGAAAGTAACTGGTTATAAATTGTTGGAATAAAGAAAAAATATTGTTCATCTCATATATGTACATAAAGGCATTGGCGTACATGGGTGCCATTGCAGCACCCATGGACGTGCCAGTCAGTTGCAAGTACCAGGTATGTTCAAACCTAAAGTAGTTGTGCTTCAACGTGAATTCCAACACGTATTTGATGGGAGGGCTTTGATATACAGTAGATTGTGAGAGGACCTGTCTCATAGCCTCTATATCAACATCATGCAGGATGATGGTATAGAGGCTACTGACGTCCATGGTAATGAGTACTGGCAGTGAATATTCAATGTGTAAAGATTGTAACTTAGACAGCAGAGTGGGGGTATCCTTTACACATGTATGTAAAGTCTCGACTGTATGCTTGAATAATAAATCCAGCCATTTTGCCACTGGCTCAAGGACGCCTCCGATTGCCGACACAATAGGACGTCCAGGTGGATTGGAGGCATTTTTGTGTAATTTAGAAATAGAATACATAATCGGCGTGCGTGGATTTACTTGAGTGAGGTATAAGTATGTATCTTGGTCGATGTAATTCGCCCTTAGGCCCATGGTGAGGATAGAATACAATTGTTGCTGAATTTGCACCGTAGGATCCCCTGGCAAGACCTGGTAAGTGTTAGTGTCATTCAGTTGACCTCTGTCATTTGCATATTGTTGGTAGTCCATTATGACGATACCGCCCCCCTTATCGGCAGGGCGTATCACTATCTTAGGGTCTTTGGCTAGGTTGTCTATTAGAAAACGTTGTTTCTTCGTGATGTTATGCCGTCTATGGTTAGGTTGTTGTATGGCTGTAGTAGTTTCTTGTAAGGTGGTAGAAAGAAATGTTTTAATGCTGGCTTTATTTGTTTGAGGATCGAATTTGGGTTTAAATTGTTTGAAGCTAGTATGCTGTTCAAGAGTGTTTGAGTTAGCCTTATTGAAGAATTCACGTAACCGCATGGTTCTTCCAAAATTGAATAGTTCTACATTCCATAAAAAAATTATTAGGAAAAGCTGTAGGAACAAAGGAGAGTCCTAAAGAAAGTATCTTTAATTCTTTTGGAACTAATTTGCGTTGTGACAAGTTGAACACTGGAATCAGCGTTTGAGTGGTGGTTTTCCATGGGTGGTTGGACCGCACCTTGCGACTCCTTCTCGAGATGCGTTTTCTGTGTCCTTGGTACGGTTCCTTGTAGTGGTGCCCATAGTTGGGGCTCCTAAAAAAGGTGAGTTGTCTCGCTGTGGTTTAGTGTCAGAGGCTGATTCAGCTGATGTAACATCCACCGTGGGTATGTTGGGACGTATTATTTTCCTTCTCTGTCGCCGTGGTTGTGTGCCAGTAAGCCATTTGTAGACACGGTGCTTTTGGTAATCTTAAAAGACACTTTGGATTTTTGAATTTAACAAGATCGCTTTTGTATTTTAGCAATTTCTCTTTAAGTTTATCTTACAGTTTGATGCCATCTGGAGATGACAATATGATGGCATGTTCGGTCCCTCTTGCTGTGATTTTCCGCATCGTGTCCTCATAATCAGATTTGACATCTTGTATGATTATTAGCATCAAATCAAGTGATGCTTTAAGTACTGAAGTCCAGTCCTTGCACACTTTTGCCTTTGATCTTCCTATTGTAGGGATATTCATGATATCCCTACAATATCTTTTTGGCTTTATAATAATCTGAAAGAAACATCCCATGGAGATCCAAATCGATGCGTTTCTTATGCAGCCTGAGTAATTCGAAGTATATGTCTTTTTAAGAGTGACATTAATGGGCAAATCAGAACTGGATTGACTCCGTATATATATATATATGTATGTATGTGTGTGTGTGTAAAGGCTTGCCTGGAGTTGTGGGAGGGGCGTGGTGATCCTATTTAAACTCACCCCCCTTTTCTGCATCACCGTGTAGTTTTGACTTCGGCAGGCATCACTTCCAGTTTCGGACTTCCGGGTTACGATCACTTCCGGTTCGCGGTCTGTGCGTTCAGATTGGCTTACAGCTGCTGTTTTCCCACACGTTGCATACTCCGGTCCCCTCACCATCTGCCACACGCCGGATGGTCCATAGGGGTGGAAGGGCTGGCAGTAAAACGCACAGCCCCCAGCAGCCAGAGACCACACAGGTCTCCACACTGCTGACAGGTTTTCGTTTTCAGCTTACTTAGTACACTACTAAAATGAAGCTTACATACTGCTGGGGAAGTTAGTTAAACTGTAAATACTGTATCACATACCACAGTACAACTACTGGGCTGCATAATGTACAACAATGTATACTTTATGTCATACTACTTACTGCATACTATGGTATATTTAGCACATACTAACTAAACTGCATACTTATGTATACTTTATGTCCTACTACTTACTGCATACTAATGTATTCCTAGCACATACTAAATTAACTGCATACTAATGTATACCTTATGTAATACTACTTACTGCATACTACTGTATGCTTAGCACATACTAACTAAACTGCATACTTATGTATACTTTATGTCCTACTACTTACTACATACTAATGCATACTTTGTCATACTACTTATTACATACTAATGTATACTTTGTCATACTACTTACTACATACTACTGTATTACTGCATACTTAGCACATACTAACTGAACGGCATAATGATGTATACTTTATTGTCATGCTACTTGCTACATACTGCTATATACTTATCATATACTAATTAAGCTGCATACTAACGTACACTTATGTCATGCTAGCTTGCCGCAGGCTACTACATACCTATCACATACTAACTGGGCCGCATTCTAAGGCATACTTTTATTACACACTGCTGGCTACATACTATACTATCACATACTACGGTATACTTTTATTACAAACTACTGGCTGCATATTACCGTATAGCTCATTACATTCTACGTACAGCACTACAGTAATACATACTGCTATGTAACACACTACTAGGCTGCTCTACGGTATTACATACTACTTGGCTTACCACTAGGGTTCAAATGGTGTTACATTCTATTGCGTTACAAGCTACGGTATGCCATGATACTATATGACTTGTTGAATACTATGGTGTTATATACTACCATGGCACGAGTGGTTCAACATGCTGCGGTATTTCATGCCACTTTACTACGTGACTGTAGAGCATATTCTAAGATACGCGCTACGCGATAAAGGAGGGCGGCCGCTTACTTATTATGGCGGTGCGTGTTGCTGTGGATTTACAATGTGTTCACATGCTTTACGTGCATTATTCTACAAAAGCTAGTATTAGAGATCACATTGCTTATTCTCTATGCTTACTTTTCAGGTTCAAGTTGACTCAAATCAACTACGTTCTTTACTATCAAATCTTTATTTAACATTGTCCAGTAAGTAAGGTGTTAAGTAAGGGGTACTTTCAGCATTAAAAGGGAAGTACGTTTATTACTATGTATAACATATACTCCTCTCTACTATCACTAGGTATAAACCTCGCTTCCATTAGATTAGTGGTGGAAGTCTCAGGTTCTCTGTTTGGTTGTGACCTAAATTTTTTGATCCAACAATAAGCGGGTGTCAGGTACGTTTTGCCTAAACACCCCTCACCCCTCCCCCCTTAGAGCTTATGATTCAGTATTACTGGCATATCTAGGATAGGCGGCCACTAGTAAATTATCCGGGCTTCTTTGCCTTAGTAGTAGTGGTCCCGCGAGGCCAACCCATTTCCTCCACGCTTGAGGACATTCGCCCCTCGGGCCAAATCATAGTTAGCCGCCTCACACGGTTGCATAGAGAGGGCTTCACTTGTCACTCCCATTCTATATTATGCACTTTAATCGTCATCGAGAGGCCAACACCCCGCCACAACGTTTCGGTGGCAACAATTCCCTCGCGCCAATCGATAGATCCTCTCAAGCCACTTGGCAACTAGCAGGGCCTCACCTGTCACCACACCTAGGAAATTGTTTCGCCATCCGGCATTAGCTAGCCAGCCAGTAACCAAAGATGGTATAATGGCTGATGGTTTGATTATTTCCTTTTAGTATGTCACATCTACCGGATGACACAGACAATTTGTCTCTACCCAGTTCTCCGGCCAGATGCTTGTCACCTACTCGTAAAGGCGACGTTGGGAGTCCAACTTCAATAAGGTCATGGACCATCCCTCGCATTACTGCAGAACTCCGGAGACGCAGCATTCCTTTTCCTGCCACGGCCAGGAAAGCTGAGCTTTACAAATTAATGCGGACTCATACTGATAACTCGGGGGCGGGAGAGGGCACAAGTGGTATGGGCAACTCGGACCTACACGCCATGGTCGCTTCACTAGTAGCATCCATGAGCAAGGTCAACGAGAGACTGGATAGGATCGAGGCTCGGAGCCCTCCTGTCAGGTCTCCCAGGCCCTCGACTGCCTTATTCCCCAATGCTCCACTATTGCAATCGGGTAATTATGTGCCCTCTGGTTCCGAAACTCACATTATCAATCCTGTGCACATGGTCCCAGACAAGATTAAGAAAGACATCTTGGACGGGAAGGATGTCAATCTTGTGGCGTTACTTATTGCTTCTCACGATGTGATTGATAACCGCACTTATGCTTATGGTGATATTTAAGTGGTGTTGAAAGCCAGGAACCCTAGATTGAATAAGAAACTGTCCATAACTGATTTTGTCTTGGCTTTTGGCATATATTGTGATGTAATTTGTTCTGTTTATCCGCATAGATGAGAGGACCTCTACATGCACAAGCTCGTGGACTTGGGAAGCGAATATGGTGGGTCATCCTTTTATGACTATCACCAATCCTTTTCGGCAAGAGCGTCTGCAATTTTGGCTCAGTAGAACGTCAAAACTGACTGGAGCCGCATGGATACTGAGCTATTTTGTAGACATTTTGCCGGTCTCAAGACACCAGCTTGTGCAGTTTGTGCTTCAACATCTCATTCCTCGGACTATTGTCCCACTATGCCAGAGACCACACCTGGGACCTGCCACAGACCAGGTTGGACAGATCTGGCAAGGACAAACTTGGTCGCCCTATTGTTTACCTGGGAAAGTCTCAGGTTTGCAATAACTTTAACGTAGGTACCTGTGGTTATAGTGCCTGCAGGTTGTTACATGTGGGTTCACATTGTTTTAGAGCACACGCTGTGGTGTATCACCAAATTAATATATATATTACACAAGGTTCATCTACATTAAAAGGTATTTATTAAAAGGCAACAACACAATAGTCTATGTGTCCCAATAAAAGTCATACTAAACCATACTTGACATCCGTAAAGATTGGTTCTTTGGCACACGCATTAGCCTCCTATCCATCCAAACACCTAGTGGACTTTTTGATAGATGGTTTCACAGAGGGATTCCATACAGGGTTGGTTCATACTCCCACTGGCATTTATGAATGCAACAATTTACAGTCGGCATTTGCAAACATGGAAATGATCGATGCTCTATTACATAAAGAATTAGAGGATGGGTTTTTATTGGGACCTTTTCACGAGCCCCCATTTTCCAATTGGCGAACCAACCCCATAGGATTAGTCACTGGGAAATCCTCAGGGAAACACAGACTGATGTTAGACCTATCAGCACCTCACTCCTTGGCCATACCAAGCCTTAAGTCCCTAATTCCATCCGAGAAATTTTCACTCAAGTACGCTACCATAGACAACGCTATACACACCATCATCACAGCTGGCATAGGTGCTTGGCACAGCAAAACTGACATCGTCAATGCGTTTAAGTTACTACCCATTCGCCCGTCACTATGGCATCTGCATGGTTTAAAATGGAACGATATCTATTATTTTTTTCACAAGACTCACGTTCGGGTCAAAAAGCAGCCCAAAAATATTTGACATCTTTGCCGAAACCTTATGTTGGCTGCTGTTAAACAATTGCAGATGCCAGGCCGTTATACATTATCTGCACGACTTTCTGTTCGTGGAGAATAATTCCTCTTCCCCCAGTGATCTGACAAAGGCCATATCATTTTTTCATTCTCTGGGGGTGCCAGTGTCCCCCAAGAAAACAGAAGGCCCTGACACGTTAGTAAATTTCCTAGGTATCCTACTAGATTCAGTAAACATGGAAGCGAGCTTACCTCCAGGTAAAATTGACAACATACTACAATCCATCAACAAATTTTTGGTCAATAGGACATGCAATAGGAAGGAATTGCAATCTTTGCTGGGATCATTGAATTTCGCCATACGAATCATCCCGCAAGGCAGGGCCTTTATTTCTAGACTCCTTTGCCTCCTCCCTCTCATACCAAATGACGTTACTCGTATCAGCTTGGAGGCACAGGCTACAGCTGAATTGCTAATGTGGCGCAAATTCCTGTTGCAATGGAATGGCAGAAGCATGTTCTTGCCTCCATTGTCTGTCCACTCTCCGGTCATTTGGACAGATGCGGCAGCATCAACGGGTTTTGCTGCCATATTTGGAAACGAGTGGCTTTGGGATGCTTGGCCAGAGGAGGTCCAGCACATTGAAGGCTTCTCACGCACCTCGGCCTTATTTGAGATATACCCCATTGTGGCGGCAGCGGTGGTGTGGGGTCAGTCTTGGGCAGGTAGCTCGGTACGCTGTTTTTCCGACAACCAAGCTACCTGCGACATCATAAACAAAGGCCGATCGGAGTCTCTAACGATCATGAGATTCATGAGAAGACTGACCTGGTTGGCAGCCTGCAATCACTTTTATTTGGTGTGTTCTCATGTACCAGGGGTCTTCAATACTGCAGCTGACAAATTGTCTCGCTTTGAATTCCAGGCATTCAAAGAGACGTTAGCCACGGCCTCCCCTACAGCCACAGCAGCACCACGTTTTCAGGAGCTGGTGATGGACTGCAAGAACTGGCAAGGCATGGGCTCGCCTTGACTAGTTTAGCCCTGTCCGACAATACTAAACGGTCTTACGATAGGGCCTTCAAACTATACAAGAGGTTTATGATAGAACACAACTTGGTGCAGTTTTTTGCCATTTCCACACGGGCAGCTTTTGTTTCGTTTTGTCATCTCAAACTCAAACTGTCACACAACACCATCAAATTATATTTAACCGGCATACAACACCTTATACCCAGATAACTCTAGTTTCTTATCGTCTTACCCCATTAAAAACATTCTTAAAGGCGTACAGAAATCCAGTATCACCCCTCCATCAACAAGATTACCAGTACATAAGCAGCTATTTAAGGATATGTCCGACTTGTTGGACACAGCCCCATTTGAACACTATACAAACATGGTAATCAAAACAGCCATCTACTTGGCATATTATGGTTTTCTTAGACCTGGCGAGTTTACCATACACGGACATAAATACGCATAAATATATACACACACACACAAACAATTTGCAACTTATTTGCTCTGGGTGTGAAAAACTTTGAAAGAGTTGCCAATACAAAGGCCAGGCTGAGAGGGGCAATCAGGGCAGTAAAAACTGGTTACCGTCCTTATGCTCCTCTGGTAGCCCACCCTGCACCTGCTGCTAGGCCCGGCTGATGGTCCCCCACTGTGGCACTCAGTGAGCAGCCCAAAAATCAGGTGAAACTGAAAATCCAGAAATGTGGATTTAATTTAAGCATTTGCCTTTTTGTATAGAATAAAAGGCATTGTGTGTTGTCATTTGCATTAAGTTTTTTGTACCATGCCCTGGTCTTCCTCAGTATGAAATAGGGCTGCAGCAGTTAGTCAGACAGGTTAAATTCCCCCAAATGCTTGTTGTACTGCCTAAAGCAGACTGGCACCCCTCTGGCATCCCTCTGCCACGAACTGGGATCCTTGATGTGGGCTCACTGTGCATGGATGTGTCAGGGTGGCGGTCCAGAAACCGGGACCCCTGAGTGCCTGATGAAGTTGGGAGTCTCCAGCGTGGAAGTGGACTATCAGGGCCTGGTGCAGGGTAACCACACGCCCTCTGGTGTTAAGCACCAGAGTTTGTGCGGCCACATACCAGGTCCCTGATGCAGCTACAGCGGATCCCAGGAACTTGAAGCTTGGAATTAAGCAGACCTCCCAGGAGCTGAATAGGGGGGCTCTGCAGCAAGAATGTATCCAGTACAGAAACAAGGCAAGGCTAGGATAGTCACCAAACAAGACAAAAACTAGTAGAACCCAGAACCAGAGAAGGATAGAAAGCTAAACCCAGAACATGTACACAATACATCAAGGGAACATTAACTAAACAGGGGCAGGACAGGACAGGACTGAACATGGACTGGGATTACAAACTAAAACAAGACAAGAGATACAAGGCAAAACAAGAGGAGACATAACTAAGCACTATATATGGAAATCATGGGGATTTAGTCACATTATATGATCATACATTGCACAAGCCTGCCAACAACGCCAATGTACCCCATATCTGGCAGGTCCTACACTGCCTAATGTTAGCTAAAAGAACCATACTAAACCACAATACAGCACTTGCCTGCAAGAAAGGGCAGAGACTTGAACCACTGCTGCAGGTCCAGACTGAAACAAAAGGAAAATGGAAAACAAACGGGCGTGGCAACATAAAACAAACATTTAAAGGAAACCTGGACACTGGGAATTCCAGGGACGGAGTACAGGAATGAACCCAGAAAAACCCAGCATAAAGAAAACCAGACATAGACCAGAAAACCAGAAAAACCAAGAAAAACTAAACAAGAATTGTAAAAAGAGTATTGGATACCAGAAGCCATCACCAGAATGATCCGCAGAACAAGGCATGATGTGACAGGATGTTGGCATGAACACCTTTTTATCTTTAAATTTGAGATCCAGCAGTTCGTCCTGGCAGAGAGCAGCTGTTTCCCCCTCTTTAGCTTTTTTTGTGCCAGGGCTTTTGGGAAACTGGCACAGGTTTTTCGGATGGTGCCGCAGGCCACAGTTTCAAAGCAATAAAGCATCCTAAGAAGAGGGATGCTGTTGTAGTAGTTGTCTATGTACAAATAATACCCTGTGACAAACTGCCCTTTGTCACTGGTTTTTCATATGACCAACTGCCCGTTGCCCCTGACTTTTGGAGGAGCCTAATTGCCATCCTCCTGCCTTATGACTATGGCCCTTTAAAAACATTATTTGGGCATATTGGATTGTAACATTTTTTTTCTGCCCCTTTAATTCCATGGGAAAATGTGCCTCTTCCTCTCCCCCTTTTTCCTTTCCCATTGTTCTCCAGCAGGGCGTTGTCCCAGGGACACTGCCAGACCAGTTTAAACTGGCTGATTTGTCCCTCCTCAATCTCTGATCAGCCCTTGCTAAACTTTAACCCCATGGCGATTTTATTCTGTTCGTGGGATCAGAACGCTGTTTGGATATATTGAGCGCTCAGATCCAAGCTATATGGGGATGGGATAGGTTGAATGTGAGGGTTCTGTTCAGTATAATAGGAATTATGTATTTCTACTGTTGTTGTAAATGGAGATATTCCCTGTACCTGGAGATAATTAAGTTACCACACCCACTTAAGCCAATTATCTCCAGGATAGAGGAGAAGATAGCCTGGCTGCTCAGCCTAAATCTGTGGAACTGTTTTGGGCAGGAAAGCCATGCTTTTAGTCGGTCAAATAGGACTTCCACCTAACTTTTGAACCACTGGACCAAATTGTATGATTTTTGGATATGTTTGTATAATGATTATGCTGATTCAGAATATGTAACTTTTATGTAAATTGCATGTATGGTTTGGAAGTTATGAATATTGTGTAAAACTGTATATTTTCCTGCCTGTGATAATTAAGTTAACCAATTGTGTACAGTAATTATATCACAGGCAGAGGGAGGGTTTGTGTGCCTTGGCTGGGAGTGTCTGACTGTACTGTTCTGTTTTGATTGGCTGATAGAACTGCATGTCCTGTATCCCACAAGGTCCACCTTGTGGGAAAACTTGTATAAAAGAAAGTCCTTTGGTGCTCATTAAACAGTTCTACTTGACCCTCAACTCGCAGCTTTGACTTGTGTTTGGAGGGGACAGCTATAATCACTACAGGGATTGCTATGCTTCCTTAGCTACTGAGCTCTTGTTCCTGATCCTGCTTCGCTCTACAGAAGGAAGAGGTTCACTCACTGGAGCCTGGTCATAGGTCCAGGGTGGATAGCAGATGGCGATATCCCAGCCCAGCAGTGGCGGTTCGTGGAGTCTGCAGTACTTATGGTGCCTACGGTGCTGATGGTCCTTTGGTGAGCGCTAGGAGCATCTTTTCTATGGTCCAACTTTAAGCTAGCCTGGAGGCAACTGTAACATACCCATTGTTTAGCAATAGGGTAATTAGATCCCATACAATTTTCCCACTACTCCCAATGATATACGGGCAATCTGGGGGAACCAAGTGACTGTTTTTACCTTCGTAAACATGGAAGGAGTAAACATAGCCACTGGCACTTTTGCAAAGTTTGTATAACTTTATCCCATATCGGGATCTTTTGGCCGGGATATATTACTTAAACCCCAGTCTGCCCTTGTAGTTCATTAAAGACTCGTCCATACAAATATTTTTTGTGGGGTGTAAATTGAGCCAAATTAGGAGCGAATCTTATAGAGGTTATCGTACTGTGGATTACCTCTTGGGGCGTGGGGCGGGACCGCTGTCTGTCCGTGAAGTGCCTGTCTTTACATTGTGTGTGTTTTCCCCATTCTTTAGTTTATTGTGCCCGCTCCCTGTTCGGGAGGTCTTCCACAAAGGGAATCTGTTCACCTCCCGAATGGGAACTACCCCAATCCCTCATTTAGAATGTTCACACCTCGCCACATAAGTGTCAAACCGCAAACCGACAGGAAGCTAAAATGGAGACGTCCAGTTACAGGACAGAGCGTATAACAATGGCTGACAGGGAGCTAAGATGGAGGTACCCAGTTACAGGACAGAGCATATAACAATGGCTGACAGGGAGCTAAGATGGAGGCGCCCAGTTACAGGACAGAGCGTATAACAATGGCTGACAGGGAGCTAAGATGGAGACACCCAGTTACAGGACAGAGCGTATAACAATGGCTGACAGGGAGCCAGGGGCGTACTTAGAGCATTTGGCACCCGGGGCGGATCCTGTGCTTGACTATAGTGTTTCTTTAATGTGAGGTAAATTAGAGATTAGTGCCACGAATAATATACTAGATTGCCTACTTACAACCAGATGAGGATGATGATGGGCTCTAGCTGCAGTCTGGCTCCACTGACTGGGAAGCAGCTCCATTTTTGGGGGGCCCTTTACACAGCTCAAGGTCCGGGTCCCAGGGTCCACCTTCATGTTCTACCAATGAGTTTGTTCACAGGGGGTGGAGTGTGTAGGGGATGTCCTGATATGTGTGTAAGGAATGCATTGTGTGAATCTGTGTTTGTATGTGTAAGGGCTGCAAGGTGTGTTTCTGTGTATGTATGGGATGCATTGAGTGTGTGTAAGGGGTTCATTGAATGTGTGTAATGATTGCATTGTGTGTTTCTGTGTGTGTAAGGGATGCATTGTGTGTAACGGTTGCATTGCTTGTGTATGTGTGTCTGTGTGTGTAATGCAGTGTGTGTGCAATGCATTGTGTGTTTTTCTGTGTGCAAGGGGTGCATGGTGTGTGATGAATGTAAATCTCTCCCCCACCTTCAATTTCCTTCTCTCCCCCCTCCAATTTCCTTCTCTCCCCTCCCAATTTCTTTCTTTATCCCCCTCTCCAATTTCTTTCTTTATCCCCCCTCCCAATCTTTCTTTATCCCCCCCTCTCCAATTTCCTTCTCCCCCTCCCAATTTCTTTCTTTATCCCCCCTCTCCAATTTTCTTCTCCCCCTCCCAATTTCTTTCTTTATCCCCCCTCCCAATCTTTATTTATCCCCCCAATGTTTCTTTATCCCCTCCTCCCAATTTCCTTATCCCTCCCAATTTCCTTATCCCTCCCAATCTTATTTATCCTCCCAATCTTCTTTATCCCTCCCAATTTATTTATCCCCCCCCATTATCCTCCCATCTTTTATCCCCAATCTTTATTTATCCTCCCAACTTTCTTTATCCTCCACCCTTTTTATTTATCCTCTCTCCAATTTCTTATCCTCTCCCACTTTATTTATCCTCCCACCTTTCTTTATCCCTCCCAATATTAATCTCCTACCCCATCTTTTATTTATCCTCCTCCCAATCTTTTATCCCTCCCACTTCTATCCTCCTCAATCTTTCCTTATCCCCCTCCCAATCTTTCTTTATCCCCCTCCCAATCTTCTACCTCCCATTTCCATCCTCCTCCCACCTTTCTTTATCCCCTCCACCTTTTATTTATCCTCCCAATCTTTATTTATCCCTCCTACCTATCTTTTTATTCCTCCCACTTCTTATCTCCCTCCCACCTTTCTTTATCCCCTCCCAATCTTTTTTTTATCCCCCTCCCAACTTTTATTATCCCCTTCCATCTTTATTTATCCCACCCTTCCCAATTCCCCCCACCCATGGCTTCTTGTATGGTCTCACATAGAGCCTGTACTGCCGGGACTAACAGGAAGTGCACACTCAGTGTACTTCCTATTAGTCCTCTGCACAGAGACAGATGCCCCTGTACCCGTGGACCATGATACAGGGCCTACAGTGAGGAGGAGTGACAGGAGAGAGCTGAGCGCTTCCCTCCTGTCAGCCCCTCTCCTAAGCATGCGCCGGGCGGGCAGCTGCAGCTGCCTGAGGCTCTCTACAGAGCGCTCGGGCGGCTGCAGCATGGGGGGCCGGCCCTGGCGGCGCCTCCCAAGGCACCCCCCACCACACCACCCGGGCGGACTGCCCCCTCCGCCCTTAGTACGCCAACTGCAGGGAGCTAAGATGGAGACGCTCAGCTACAGGACAGAGCGTATAGCAATGGCTGATGGGGAGCTAAGATGGAGGACCAAGTTACAGGGTAAAGAAAGAGGTGTGTATTTCTACTTTCTACAAATTTCTATTTGTTACATATAGCGATAGGTAAATATAACATTAACGATCTGCTTTGAATCCATTGTTCCTGTGATTTATAGGCAGATTTAAAGGACAGTCTGGACACCATAACATTGCCCACGGAGAAACTGTCGGATTTCATTTTGGTAATGCTGTAAAGGAAGTCTAGTCGAGTGGTATCAGACCCATATAAGTATCAAACTGTCTAAAACAGCTCAACTGGGAGGCATCAGAGGTCTCCTGGCACCATTATTACTACAAAAGTCCTATTTTATGGTGAAATGATAAATAAGAACACCTAAACAGAATCCGTGCATTCCTATCCAAGATGAATATTTTTAAGACATGAACGGCCTCTGCAAAGAGATTTCCATGTCTGGATAAGTGAGCAGTAGTTTGAAGAGGTAAATCCTTGTGTCCCCTACGTGTAGTGGCCATATACCCACAGACCTCCTGGTTACACTGCACAGGTTTTCATTATAACCAGAGCATACTAGGTTAAGAAAGTGGCGTCGGCCTTGCCTCTGTGTCAGATATTGCTGCATTTGAAAAGGAATCCGTGACATGAAGTGGTTAAACCTTTTGGAATACTGATTTCACTTTTTGTATAATAAATGTGCGAGCTGATCTTGTCACCTAATGCAAAGTTTATGCAACAAGTAAATGCTGAGCTCTTCATCCAGAATGCTAACTATGAAAATTAAATAAAACAAATGGAGGTTTCCTCAAACTATCTTTTAATCAGAATGAATTCAGCCCAATGTACAATGCTATGGGTCTGTAATAGAGTTGAGCGAACCCGAACTATAAAGTTCGGGCTCGTACTGAACATTATGATTTTTTTGACCCGAACCCAAACCTGGACATTTTAGTAACAGTTCGAGTTGGAGTTCGGTGTTTGGCGATTTAATGACACATTTTGAAAAGCTGCAGGGCAGCCAATCAACAAGTGTTTGACTCGTGTGCCCTTAGAAGCCTTCACAGCCATGCCTACTAATGGCATGGCTGTGATTGGCCAGTGCAGCATGTGACCCAGCCTCTATATAAGCTGGAGTCACACATCGCCACACGTCACATGAGCTCTTATTAGTATAGGGAGAGGATGCTACAGCTGTGAGGGACAGATTAGGAAAGAATTCTGGTGTTGAATCTGCCAACTACAGCGGTTATTTTTGTGGGTGCTATACTACATTTTTGTACTCTGCCCTGAGCCCAGTGCCACAGAGAAATAAGCAATCAGTCTGTTTGTTAGGTGGGCGTCGGCGGCCATTTTTGCAAGTGCAGTACACTTGCAACTGCATGTGTGCCAGGCACATTACTTTAATCATGTTCTGGTAGCACAGTGGGCAACTTCTAGGCATTTTTAAATACTGCTGTGACATTGCAGTCTGACAGATTTACATTTTGGTGCTAAAAATTAAATTTGGGGTATGCACTTCATATCTGAGAGTCAAATAGAACCGTCAAATACTGCTGTGACATTGCAGTTTGACTAATTCAAATGTTGTTGGTGCTAAAAAGTAAATTTGGGGCATGAACTTCATATCTGAGAGTCAAATAGAACCGTCAAATACAGCTGTGACATTGCAGTTTGACTAACACATTTTTTTGGTGCTAAAAATTTAATTTGGGGTGTGCACTTCATAATTGAGAGTCAAATAGAACCGTCAAATACTGCTGTGACATTGCAGTTTGACTAATTCAAATGTTGTTGGTGCTAAAAAGTAAATTTGGGGTGTGCACTTCATATCTGACAGTGAAATAGAAATGTCAAATACTGTGGTTACATTGCACTTTGAAAAATTCTAAATTTTTTGGTGCTAAATTGTACATTTGCGGCCTGCGGTGCATTTCTTGCAGTCCAATAAAACTGTTAAATACTACTGTTACATTGTTTGACAAATTCACATTTTTTGAGACAGTGAAGTAACTGTATTAATTACGCTTGTCACACTGTTGTGTGACCTCTAGAAATGTTTTCTCTTTAGGACACTGGCACTGCCTTACTGTCAGTGAACTTAATTGTTGACTATTGGCGGTTACATTGTAGCCTGACATAAACCATCTGTTAGTCTGGTGGGTGAATGCACAGAATCGGGGGGCGTCAAATAAGGGACGTGACCCTGGTCGTGGTGCTGCTGGTGTTGGTGGAGCTCCTGTTGCAGGGAGAGGACGTGGTCGATCTGTGCCAGCTATACGCACAAGTGAAACACCTTCCTCAGGTGCTAGTAGGCGACCGCACCTTCAGCGTTATTTGGTAGGCCCGAATGCCGATCTACGAATGGTGAGGCCAGAACAACTACAGGTGATAATAGATTGGGTGGCTGACAGTGCCTCCAGTTCCTTCACATTGTCTTCCACCCTGTCCCCTGCTGAAAGCTCAGAGTTGGCACCTGCAGCCCATGGCCATCTGTCTTTCAAATCACTCACTTGCAAATCAGCCAAGCAGTCTGAGCCACAAGTCATGCAACAGTCTCTTATGCTTTTTGATGACTCTGCTGGCGGGGTTTCCGTGGGCCATCCACCTAGCCCTGCCTCAGAAGTGGAAGAGATTAAGATTGAGACTGATGTACAACCACTTATGTTTCAGGATGTGGACATGCGAGGACCACCGCAGCACGTCTCCGATGATGACGAAACACAGATGCCAACTGCTGTGGCTCTCTGCAGTGAGCAGACCGGCAAGGAGGGCAGGGTTGAGGAGTGGGTGGAAGATGATGTGGAGGATGATGAGGTCCTAGACCCCACATGGAATGAAGGTCATGCGAGTGACGTGTGCAGTTTGGAGGAAGAGGCGGTGGTCGCACAGAGGCACCAGCACAGCATAAGAGGGAGCAGGGTGCAAAAGCGGAGCGGCCGTCCCATAGACAGTACGCCTGCTACTGCCCACCGCACACAGGGACCGAGCACACCAAAGCCAGCTACAAGGAGTTCCCTGGCGTGGCAGTTCTTCAGACAATGTGCTGACGACAAGACACGCTGTGCAATCAGAGCCTGAAGCGAGGCATAAACGTTCTAAACCTGAGCACAACCTGCATGACCAGGCATCTACATGCAAAGCACGAGCTGCAGTGGAGTAAGCACCTCAAAGAAAGGTCTCATGCTACTCCTGCTTCCTCTTCTGCTGCTGTCTTGGCCTCTTCCTCCACCTCTGGAGTGACAGTGGCACCTGCCACCCCGCAAACAGAGGATGTGGCAGCAACGCCACCACGTCCGCCACCGTCCCCAAGCATCTCCACACTGTCCCATGGAAGCGTTCAGCTGTCCATCTCCCAAACACTGGAGAGAAAGAGGAAGTACCCCCTGCCCACCCGCGATCCCTGGCCCTGAATGTCAGCATTTCAAAATTCCTGGCCTTTGAAATGCTGTCATTCCGTCTGGTGGAGACAGTTTTAAAAACCTGATGGCGGTGGCTGTCCCACAGTACGTGGTTCCAGCCAACACTACTTTTCAAGGTGAGCCATCCCTTCCCTGCACAACCAATAGGCGGACAAAATCAGGTGTGCACTGCGCAACGCCATCTGTGGCAAGGTCCACATAACTACTGATACGTGGACCAGTAAGCACAGTCAGGGACGCTATATCTCCCTAACTGCACACTGGGCAAATGTTGTGGCGGCTGGGCCTGAGGCGGATCGCAGTTTGGCGCATGTCCTTCCGCCACCGAGGATTGCAGGGCATTTCTCTTTGCCTCCCGTTGCCTCCTCCTCCTACTCTGCTTCCTCCTCCTCTACCACCTCCTCATCCGGTCAGCGTAACACCTTCATCACCAACTTCAGCACAGCCAGGGGGAAACAACAGCAGGTTGTTTTAAAATTCATATGTTTGGGGGGAAAACCCCACACCGCGCAGGAGCTGTGGACGGGCATGGAACAACAGACCGATGAGTGGTTGTTGCCACTGAGCCTCAAGCCCGGCCTGGTGGTGTGCGATAATGGGCGAAATCTCGTAGCAGCTCCGGGCCTAGCCGGTTTGACACACATCCCTTGCCTGGCGCATGTGCTGAATTTGGTGGTGCAGAAATTCCTGAAAAACTACCCAGATATATCAGAGCTGCTGCAGAAAGTGCGGGCTGTCTGTGCGCGCTTTCGGCGTTCTCACCCTGCTGCTGATCGCCTGTCTACGCTGCAGCGTAACTTCGGCCTTCCCGCTCACCGCCTCATATGCGACGTGCCCACAAGGTGGAACTCCACCTTGCACATGCTGGAGAGCAGCAGCAGACGATAGTAGAGTTTCAGCTGCAGCACACACGGTCAGTCGCTCTGCGGAACAGCACCACTTCACCACCAATGAGTGGGCCTCTATACGAGACCTGTGTGCCATGTTGTGCTGTTTCGAGTACACCATTGACACATAGAATGTGACAGCAGATAAGAACCATTCTGCCCAATTTTCTAAATACCTTATCTTATAATTAGGATAGCTTTATGCCTATCCCACGCATGCTTAAACTCCTTTACTGTGTCAACCTCTACCACTTCAGCTGGAAGGCTATTCCATGCATCCACTACCCTCTCAGTAAAGTAATACTTTCTGATATTATTTTTAAACCTTTGCCCCTCTAATTTAAGACTATGTCCTTTTGTTGTGGTAGTTTTTCTTCTTTTAAATATGGTCTCCTCCTTTACTGTGTTGATTCCCTTTATGTACTTAAATGTTTCTATCATATCCCCCCTGTCTCGTCTTTCTTCCAAGCTATACATGTTAAGATCCTTTAACCTTTCCTGGTAAGTTTTATCCTGCAATCCATGAACCAGTTTAGAAGCCCTTCTCTAAACTCTCTCTAAGGTTTCAATATCCTTCTGAAGATACGGTCTCCAGTATTGCGTACAATACTCCAAGTGAGATCTCACCAGTGTTCTGTACAATGGCATGAGCACTTCCCTGTTTCTACTGCTAGCATTTCCTCCTGGTCTATTACATTGTCTGCCTACCTTTAAGTCATCAGAAATAATCACCCCTAAATCCCTTTCCTCAGATGTTGAGGTTAGGACTCTATCAAATATTCTGTACTCTGCCCTTGGGTTTTTACATCCAAGATGCATTATCTAGCACTTATCCACATTAAATGTCAGTTGCCACAACTCTGACCATTTTTCTAGTTTGCCTAAATCATTTGTCATTTGGCTTATCCCTCCTGGAACCCTGTTACATATCTTAGTATCATCAGCAAAAAGACATACCTTACCATCAAGACCTTCTGCAATATCACTAATAAAAATATTAAAGAGAATGGGTCCAAGTACAGATCCCTGAGGTACCCCACTGGTGACTACAACCCTCTGTTGCCTGTCACTCAGCCACTGCCTTACCCACTCAACAACATTGGAATCCAAACTTAAAGATTGCAATTTATTGATAAGTCTTCTATGTGCAACAGTGTCAAAAGCCTTACTGAAATCTAGGTAAGCGATGTCTACTGCACCACCCTGGTCTATAAAAATCAATAAGATTAGTTTGGCATGATCTCCCTGAAGTAAGCCCATTTTGTCTCTGATCTTGAAATCCATGTGTTTTTAGATGTTCACCAATCCTATCCTTTAACATGGTTTCCATTACTTTCCCCACTACTGAAGTAAGGCTTACTGGCCTATAGTTGCCCGACTCCTCCCTATTACCTTTCTTGTGAATGGGCACAACATTCTCTAACTTCCAATCTTCTGGGACTACTCCTGTTATCAATGATTGGTTAAATAAATCTGTTAATGGTTTTGCTAGTACACCACTAAGCTCTTTTAATAACTTTGGGTGTATTCCATCAGGTCCCATTGACTTATTTGTCTTTACTTTTGACAGTTGAAATAGAACCTCTTCCACTGTAAACCCACATGTAATAAATGACTCATTTCCACGGTTATCAGGCCAGTCATTAACAGTGGCTTGGAGGGTGGGCTCTTGCACCAGCATAGGCCAGGTACACAATTGTCCAGCCAGGGCACAGTTCTGGAGGAGGAGGAGGAACCGTGTTCACAGCAGGGTGGCACCCAATGCAGCTCGTGGGCATCACTGGAGTGTGGCTGGGGGTATTTGGAGGACACAGACGATACACCTCCCACAGAGGACAGCTTGTCCTTGCCTCTGGGCAGCCTGGCACACGAGCGACTACATGCTGCAGTGCCTGCGCAACAACTGCGGAGTTGCCCACATTCTAACTTGTGCTGATTACTGGGTGGCAAGCCTGCTGTATCCCCGTTACAAGGACAACATGCCGTCCTTAATTCCCTCACTGGAGCGTGATCGGAAGATGCGCGACTACAAGCGCACGCTGGTGGACTTGCTGCTGAGGGCATTCCCAACTGACATCGGGGGCTCAGTGGAAGCACAAGGCGAAGGCAGAGGAGGAGGAAGAGGTCGCCAACGCAGCTGGGGCACCGCCAGCACCTCAGAAGGCAGGGTTAGCATGGCCGAAATGTGGAAAAGCTTTGTCAGCATGCCACAACAACCAGCACCACCAGCTGATATGGAAAGTCTTAGCAGGAGGCAGCATTTCAGCAACATGGTGGAACAGTACGTGTGCACACGCCTACATGTACTGACTGGGTCTGCCCCATTCAACTTCTGGGTCTCCAAATTGGGCACATGGCCTGAGCTTGCCCTTTATTCCTTGGAGGCGCTGGCCTGCCCTGCAGCCAGTGTATTGTCTGAATGTGTGTTTAGCACGGCAGGGGGCGTTATCACAGACAAGCGCAGCCGCCTGTCCACAGCCAATGTGGACAAGCTCACGTTTATTAAAATGAACCAGGCATGGATCCCACCAGACTTGTCTGTACCTTGTGCAGAATAGGCATTTATACCGGACTCACCCAGCCATTGTTATACTCAAGTGCGCTTATTCTTTGTTTTCTTTTTTTATATGTCCCAATATTTTTGGGGCTACCCCAAAAAATAAAAAACAGTGTTGGCTACCTCCTCCTCCTCCACCACCGCTTCCACCTACACCGCCACGGTCACTGCCTCCTCAACCTCCTACTCCACCTCCTCCTCATAGTTCAAGATTATTATTTTTAATTTTGATGTATTTTGTTATTTTAAGTGATTTCCCTATCCAAATTTGTTTGCAGGGCACTTGTCCTACTCTTATCACCATTTTACTTCCTTTTTCAGCCCTCTAGCCCTTTCCAGGACTTTTTTAGAGCCACTTTAGTGCCCAAAAGTTCGGGTCCCGATTGACCTCAATGGGGTTCGGGTTCGGGGTCAAGCTCGGGTCAAGTTCGAGCCCCAAACTCGAACTTTTTGCCGAAGTTCGGCTGAACCTGAACATCCAGGTGTCCGCTCAACTTTTAGTCTCGAAGTCTCAAAGTGAATCTGTCATTGACCTGGCAGCCTGACATCTAGAACAACCAGACTGGCATACCTCATCACTGACCTAGAACAGCCAAACTAGCATACCTCATCGCTGACCTAGAACGATGAGGTATGCCAGTCCGACATACCTCATCCATAGAAATATAATGAATACATACAATAGGTGGAACACACATCTGACGATTCTAGAAAATAAAACAGAATCTCATAGTATAATACTGTTGGGTTAAGGTATAATAGATGGTAATAGAGCAATGGTACTCACAAGCCCAGAGTCAGTATAACATATGGCTCTTATGTGAAGCGTGGTGGGACTCTTAGTAGGATGTCCCCATCCTTCTTCCTATTCTTTCTTGGGTAGTTGGAAAATGACAAAAGAAGATTGCAGTATTCCAGTATGTTGTCCCAAAAAGGAAGAAACTTTATTGATGAAAGAAAAAGGTATGCCAAATAAAATTGAAAAAATTCCAATCAAGGTGCTGATATAGAATGCAAAGTCTGTAATAGACTGTGTATGTCCAAATATAGACTGTATATGTCCAAAACGCGTTTCGCCCTATGGTGGGGGCTTCCTCAGTTGGTATCAGTCAGTATTATTAGTGGGGGCTTCCTTGGCGTCTTTATATAATGCATTTCCTTTCCACTTCCGGGTTTCTCAGTTGTTTTTAGATCCTCATATTTTTATTGAAAATCAACAGATTAAAACAAAAAAAAAATTTAAGCCAGTGGATGCCAACGGATATATAGAAAAGAAGAGGTGCCATCATAAACCCTGGCTAGACAATGCCCCAAAAGGTCAGTTCTTAAGAATAAGACGTAATTGTACGAAAGAACAGGATTACATAAACCAAGCGGGCCTAATAAAGCAACAATTTTTAGAAAAGGGCTACGAAGAGACTAAATTAATTGCAGCTATGGAAGAAATTCAAAACACCCCCTAGAACAGTTACTAACTTATAAACAACGTCAAAGAGATTCAAACACAAATAAGAACGAATTCCATTTTATATGCAATTTTAACGGAAACAACCAAAAAATTAATAGAGCTATCAATAAATATTGGTATATTCTACAAAGAGATCCAATCCTGAAGAACCTATTACCAACAAGACCAAAAATCATTTACAGAGGCGCAGTAAATTTGAAAAGATCAGTAGTTCACAGTATTGAAGGTCCACCTAAAATCACACTACATTTCTTAAATCAAAGTAAAGGTTTCTTTGGGTGTGGGACATGCCTAGCATGTAGAACAACAAGAAACCCCAAAAGACATATAAAAAATCTTAAAGAATATACGGATATTGACTTTATTATAAAAGACCAACTAACCTGCTTTTCGAAAGGAGTCATTTATCTACTGAAATGCTCCTGTAATTTATTGTACATAGGTAGGACTATTAGAAGCCTACAAGTCCGGATATCCGAACACGTTAGGAATATTAAAAAAGGTTTAGAAACCCATAGTGTTTCTAACCATTTTAAAATTCATCATAACCTTAACCCAGAACACCTTTTCTTCTGCCCACTAAAAATAGTTAAAAAGGATTGGAGAGGTGGAGATTACACTAAAAAAATAGGTTCAGAAGAGATGAAATATATTTTTAATTTCAATACTTTGATTCCCTATGGTCTTAATTCAGACTTTGAGATTTGTAATTTTATCTAATCTTAATATGTTAAGGTCTTAACTTTTTATTGCCATCATTTTTTTTGTTATCAATTCTAGGTTTTATTTCCCCTTTTTACATAAATTCACCACTTTTAGGGTTTTCACTTTATGCACAACACATCTAATATTTAATGTGTGTATCAATTGACTGTCACCTATGTCACTTAAGACATACAGCACACCTATTTAGGTTTTATGATTGTATTAAAGATTGTTCATATTTTGGGCTCTTATATATATTTTATGCATGTATTAATTTACTGTCATCCATGCTATGTAGGATGTACAGCATACCTATATAAGTTCTATGAATGCATTGAAGACACTTTATACTAAGTATATCCGCAGTGGAACGCATAGATTCGGAACTATGCGTTCCAGTGACGCCTCCTGTGCGCCCTGCAGACAGGAACCGGAAGTGATGCGCACGAAGTCGGCGGTGGAACGCAGAATGCGTTCCACACACGGAACAACTGAGAAACCCGGAAGTGGAACGGAAATGCATTATATAAAGACGCCAAGGAAGCTCCCACTAATAATACTGACTGATACCAACTGAGGAAGCCCCCACCATAGGGCGAAACGCGTTTTGGACATATACAGTCTATATTTGGACATACACAGTCTATTACAGACTTTTCATTCTATATCAGCACCTTGATTGGAATTTTTTCCATTTTATTTGGCATACCTTTTTCTTTCATCAATAAAGTTTCTTCCTTTTTGGGACAACATACTGGAATACTTGTCATTTTCCAACTGCCCAAGAAAGAATAGGAAGAAGGATGGGGACATCCTACTAAGAGTCTCACCACGCTTCACATAAGAGCCATATGTTATACTGGCTCTGGGCTTGTGATTACCATTGCTCTATTACCATCCATTATACCTTAACCCAACAGTATTATACTATGAGATTCTGTTTTATTTTCTAGAATCGTCAGATGTGTGTTCCACCTATTGTATGTATTCATTATATTTCTATGTAAGTGGAATAAGGGGTTTCCACTTAGGTGGTTTGTGGCCGTTCTACCTACCACACATACCTTTTCACTGTATTTCTACTATTTCACTATTTTGACATACCTCATCGCTGACCTAGAACAACCAGTCTGACATACCTCATCACTGACCTAGAACAACCAGTGTGACATACCTCATCACTGACCTAAAACAGCCAGCCTGGCATACCTCATCACTGACCTAAAACAGCCAGCCTGGCATACCTCATCGCTGACCTAGAACAACCAGTCTGACATACCTCATCACTGACCTAGAACAACCAGTGTGACATTCCTCATCACTGACCTAAAACAGCCAGCCTTGCATACCTCATCGCTGACCTAGAACAGCCAGTCAGATATATAGTGGATTAGTGGGGAGCACAGTGTGTTACTTTAATACTATATTAGTGGAATATTTACTCACTGTTACATATTAGCATATATGCTGTATATATTGATATCGGTCACAAACAATGGACATATAAATCCTTATCACATTGGTATGCACAACATTTGGAACAAAGGATGATTTGCAAGTATTCATCCATTTTTAATGTCTATCAAGGTCCTTCCTTTGGAAATTAGTATCGAGATTTCTTCTCACTGTATTGCCATTACAAAGGCATGTTCAGTTGTGGAACAGTTCCAGTCGTGTAGTATTTGCAGATTTCTCCACTGCCAGGGTTATTTTGGCTCTTGATCTCATAGTCAGCGATATGACTGAGCCAGTGTCATTATCATTGAAAGAGAATAAGGTTCTCTGGCTACCAGAGCTCACAGATTTAGATCAGGAGTTGTAACAGTGAAGCGGTGCGAGGTTGGAGGGATGAATGTTTCATTTAGTCTGAGCGTGGGAACCCCACTCACAGTGACCACCAGGTTAGAGTCTATGGATTGCAGACAGAATGTCATATTTGAGCGTATGGGTCGTGTTACTGGTTCCTCGCTCACCAAAGTCCACACCCCTGTGGGGATCATCTGGTATTGAACAAGAGGACCTGGCTGCAAATATTCTTCCAGAAAGGCCTGTGGTAAATAAATGATTAGAATTATTTAACAATGTAGAGTGAATCGAGTGAATTCTATATTTTGTCAATGTTCTAGATGTGTATTTAACCCCTTAAGGACCAAACTTCTGGAATAAAAGGGAATCATGACATGTCACACATGTCATGTGTCCTTAAGGGGTTAAAGCACAGTAGAATACACATCTTGCTGTCTGTAGGTGGACTCAGTCTGTCCTTTTTTGTGGGTCTTGTTTTAACTGCTTCCATAAAATTTTATATAACTTTTAACTGTTTGGCTCCCAGTTTTACTCAACCGGCCCACCCCATGGTTTGGGTGCGTTTGCATAGTGGAGAATTCACATTATAAGTTCATTAACAGAACATGAGGGTTGTCTAATGGATGAACTAATAATTATTAAAAATCATATGTAATAATTGCACGTCTTTTAGCTCCATTAAATACCTAGAATAACATGTAACTTCAATGATGCTAAACGGGAACCATCCAACGCAGAATCTTTAGTTGCCATGTATTGAGAGATCTGTCTACGAAACTTTCTGGAATGGGTCGATGTGGGCTCAAGCCATGCATGATTTACAGAAGATATACATGATGATATAAACGTGAAAACATATTTACAGTTATTGGCTACCTTCATATTGAATTAGAAGCTGAACTCTATGAGCACACAGCACAAGAGTAATTTCCCATCTGACCACTCACTGATTCACTCCAGGAATAAATCTAGGACTTCACCTGTGGTGACATGTTGTGCGTCAGACACATCGTTAGATGTTGTATGATGGATTCCATGCTGTGCAGGTGAGCTTGTCGTGTTGTGCGCAGGTAACGCTGTAGACTCTGCGCAATCAGTGGAAATATGCTCTGAGCAGCATCTCTTGGATGTAGTACATATGGACTCTTCCCCTCTTTATCTTGCTCAGACAATCGCTGTAACTGACAGAAAGCTTCATTTATGGAGATTACCAACCTGTGGAAACACAGTAGAAAAAAAAATCTTCTTATTTGAAAAGACATACAGTTGCAAGAAAAAGTATGTGAACCCTTTGGAATGATATGGATTTCTGCACAAATTGGTCATAAAATGTGATCTGATCATCATCTAAGTCACAACAATAGACAATCACAGTCTGCTTAAACTAATAACACACAAAGAATGAAATGTTGCCATGTTTTTATTGAACACACCATGTAAACATTCACAGTGCAGGTGGAAAAAGTATGTGAACCCTTGGATTTAATAACTGGTTGAACCTCCTTTGGCAGCAATAACTTCAACCAAACGTTTCCTGTAGTTGCAGATCAGACGTGCACAACGGTCAGGAGTAATTCTTGACCATTCCTCTTTACAGAACTGTTTCAGTTCAGCAATATTCTTGGGATGTCTGGTGTGAATCGCTTTCTTGAGATCATGCCACAGCATCTCAATTGGGTTGAGGTCAGGAGTCTGACTGGGCCACTTCAGAAGGCATATTTTCTTCGTTTTAAGCCATTCAGTTATTGATTTACTTCTATGCTTTGGGTCATTGTCCTGTTGCAACACCCATCTTCTGTTGAGCTTTAGCTGGTAGACAGATGGTCTTAAGTTCTCCTGCAAAATGTCTTGATAAACTTGGGAATTAATTTTTCCTTCGATGATAGAAATGCGTCCAGGCCCAGACGCAGCAAAGCAGCCCCAAATCATGATGCCCCCACCACCATACTTCACAGTTGGGATGAGGTTTTGATGTTGGTGTGCTGTGCCTTTTTTTCACCACACAAACTGTTGTGTGTTTCTTCCAAACAACTCAACTTTGGTTTCATCTGTCCATAGAATATTTTGCCAGTACTGCTGTGGAACATCCAGGTGCTCTTGTGCAAACTGTAAACGTGCAGCAATGTTTTGTTTAGGCATCATTCACATCAGGCAATGCTTCTTGTGAAAAGCAAACCCAGAACTGGTGTGTGATTTTTATAGGCCAGGGCAGCTGTAACCAACACCTCCAATCTCATCTCATTGATTGGACTCCAGTTGGCTGACATCTCACTCCAATTAGCTCTTGGAGATGTCATTAGTCTAGTGGTTCACATACTTTTTCCACCTGCACTGTGAATGTTTACATGGTGTGTTCAATAAAAACATGGCAACATTTCATTCTTTGTGTGTTATTAGTTTAAGCAGACTGTGATTGTCTATTGTTGTGACTTAGATGATGATCAGATCACATTTTATGACCAATTTGTGCAGAAATCCAAATCATTCCAAAGGGTTCACATACTTTTTCTTGCAACTGTAGATTATCATGGCCAAGATGGTAGCCAGTATCAAGTTCTGCAACCAATAGATCAACACATTCCACACCTCATCCCACCCTTTATACTACATGTCACAATGTGAGCAGTTTAACTACATCCTACCCAGCACTCTTCCACAGTCATATCCTTTGTGCTATTCATCATCCCTCTTTACCTGGTCACCCTGAGATCATCCAACATATTATTCTACACATCACCCAACTTTGTCACCCCGAGAGCAGTCCTCCATCCCATCTAGTGTCCTACTCATTACCCTCTATACTTGGTCACCCTGCGATCATCAAACATAGGGTTCTACTAATCACCTAACTTTGTCACACTGAGAGCAATTCTACATTCCACCCAATGTCCTACTTATCTTCTCACCATGTCACACTGTCCATGAACAACCTACATCCACATATTATCCCTCAAATTCCTCACATTATTCTGTGGTGTCACACAGGGGAGGCCGTTTATATCCAAACCATAAAATATGTTAGATAATTGAAGAAGAATGGCACAATCTGTGCAAAAATACTGCATTTATTTTTCTCTCTCAGTATTCATATGGACTACTGCCAAAATAAGCTGTAATTAAATTAGCTCCCTGTTTGTTTGTTTTCACGTTGACAGAAGCCCCGGCCAACCAGCCTTCACTGACTCTCACTGTTTGACTCTGTCTGTAACCCCAGATTCCTGAGTGGTGCCTGTGGTGAAAGGTACCTCACCACTAGTTTTTGGAGGGGACTGATTGCCAGCCTCATGCCTTGGGACTATGGCCCCTGGGAGATTGGGCACTTTAAAAACAGTATTGGGGCTTATGGAATTGTATTGCTGTTTAAAAGACTGTTCTGGCCCTTTGGAACTGGCTGCTTTGTCCCTCCTCAGTCTCTATATCAGCTTTTGCTAAACCCCATGGCGATTTGACTGTGTTCGTGGGATCTGAGCGCTGTTCGTATATATTGAGCGCTCAGATCCAAGCTATCTGGGGATAGGTGGGGGGGTTTTGTTCAGTATGATAGGAATTATGTATTTTTGTATACTTTTGCTGTTGTTGTGAATAGAGATATTTTCTGTATGCTGGAGATAATTGGCTTACCACCCCCATCCATGCTTGCAGTCTGTCAAATAGGACTTCCATCTAACTTTTGAACCACTGGACCAATTTGTATGATTTTGACATATGTTTGTATTTGGAGTATGCTGATTCTGAAAATGTATATGTGAATGTGATGTATACTTTTAAAGTTATGAATATTGTGTAAAACTGTGTGGTTTCCTGCCTGTGATAATTACGTTAGCCCATTGTGTTTTACTATATATTACGTGTTTGATTGGTTGTTCTTCAAAACCCTGTGGGCGGTACTAGGTGTGTAAAATGTGCATAAAAGCAGAGTGTGTCATTAAAACCTCAGTTCTACTTCACCCTAAATTTGGAGTGCCGTCTCTTATTGGGGGAATCTCCTACAAGGGATTGATATGCTAGTCATACTCTCTTGCTATATCACTACTAAGCTCTTGTAAGAGATTGTTTCTGTCTTGCTCTCTGAAGGAGTATACGGTGGTTATGGTGTCGGCTGGAGTGCATGGAGCCCTCAGGAAGCGCTAGGAGCATCCATCAACGGAGGTACCCAGTCGGGGTGCCAGGTGATCTGTTACAGTGCCAATTTCCCCCACACATGCCAATGGCACCTGTGACAAATGCCCTGTGGTCTGGTCATTTGCCACAAGCTCCTAGAGGAGCCTGCTAGCCAGCCTACCCCAGGATTATGGGCCATGCATAATACCCTACAAACTACTCGGTTCGTGTGATTTGGGACTATGTTGTTCGGGAACCGAACAACTGCACGAACCAGAGACCACCCGGGATCTTGTTAAGCCCAATTGACACAATAGTCCCAGGGTAGAAATATGGATTTAGTTTGGTAGTTTGCTCGGTTTTAAACTACCGAACTTAACCGACCGTTAGCACTGATTTCATGGAACTGTTTTGGGCAATGGACCATGTGCACGGTCGGTCAAAATTATGACTTCCATGGAAATCCCTAACCCCTGAACCGATCTGGGTGATTTTTGGATATGTTGGTCACCCAGATCATTTGACTTTTGTGTGGTTTTCATGTGTTTTGGGGTTATTTTGGGGGGTTTTGTTATATTGCCTGCTTCTGTTTCCAAGAGATAATCCAATTGTATGTTTGTGTGCTCATGTAATTATCTCTCAGACACAGCGGATGAGTATGTTAGATGTTTGCTTGTAACTAGTCTCCTCTCAGGTCCAGATGGAGGGATTATCCTGTTTTGAGTGGGAGTGTTATGGGCATATTTGACTGTGTGTAAACAGTATAAAAGCAGGCCATCTTGCCAGACTAAAACATTCCAGTTTGTACTCCCAGAACTACATGTCGTCTGGTTACTGGGAGGGAAAAGGGCTAATCACTAATCAATGCTCCAGTGTGGAGGATTCCATGGGGAAAGTCCTTGTAAGGACTAGAGCTCCCAGGACTGAGTGTCGTCCAGTGCCTGGGGGGGTGTGGCAAACCTAGCCACTTCTGGACTTCCAGGCCGTTCGGATAAATTATTATTTTGGCATATTAAAGCTACAAGTATATTATATCAGTTACGTATTTTTATGTAAAACTGTATAATTTGCTGTACGGAGAGATAATGTGATTAACAGTACATTCTTGCACAATTATCTCTCCTGTACAGCAAGGCATGCTGGGAAACAGCCTTGCAGGCTAAGTTCCTCACACAGTCCTCTGTAGTAAAACCCCTGCAATGTCATTCAGGAAACCCCTTGCATGGGGTCTTGCATAAATACTGTGACCGTGGAATAAAATGACAGTTGAATCCCAGACTATGTGTCGTCTAGTCCTTGGGGAAGAGGGATTATTATTACGCTGCCTGTGTTTTACCTGCTTTATCCTGACTACTAGCGGAGATACCGTGGATTATACTGCTACTCCCAGTGGCGTACATACCAGGGGGCCCGGCCGCCACTGCGACCCGGTATGTACCCACAGGGCCAGCCTCTTCTCCTGGGGGGCCCTGGCGGCGGCCACCTCAGGACCCCCCCCGAGGTTGGCCCTGCTGACCCCGGCAGACAGGCTGGCTGACCGGCGCGCGAGGGAGCACTTTCCCCTAAGTGCTTCCTCTTCCGCTCCCTCGCGCACCACACTGATACCGGAGCCGGAAGATGACGTCATCTTCCGGCTCCGGCATCCCAATGCAGCGCGCGAGGGAGCGGAAGAGGAAGCACTTAGGGGAAAGTGTGTGTGTTAGTGTGTGTGTGTTAGTGTGTGTTTTAGTGTGTGTGTTATACTGTGTGTTAGTGTGTGTGTGTTATAGTGTGTGTGTGTTAGTGTGTGTTATAGTGTGTTACTGTGTGTGTGTTATAGTGTGTGTGTGTTATAGTGTGTGTGTGTGTGTGTTATAGTGTGTGTGTGTGTGTCTGTTATTGGGTGTGTGCCTGCTAGTGAGTGTGTTACTGTGTGTGTCTGTTACTGAGTGTGTTTGATGTCTGTGAGTGTGTGTTTGTCAGTGAAAGTGTATGTTTTGTAAGTGAGTGTGTATGTATGTCTGTCGCTGAGTGTGTCTCTGTCAGTAATTGTGTGTGTCTGTTAGCTAGTGTGTATGCGTCTGTTCGTGAGAATGTGTGTGTGTGTCTTCAGCATTTACCTTTCTCCAGCGTCGGACTCCCTTGGCGCTGGGGATCCCTCTGCCTCTCAGCTCCGAATGCACATGCGCGGCAAGAGACGCACGCGCGCATTTAAACCGCCCATAGGAAAGCATTACTCAATGCTTTCCTATGGACGTTCAGTGTCTTCTCACTGTGATTTTCACAGTGAGAATCGCGGAAGCTCCTCTAGCAACTGTCAATGAGACAGCCACCAGAGGCTGGATTAACCCTCAGTGAAACATAGCCGTTTCTCTGAAACTGCTATGTTTTCAGCTGCAGGGTTAAAACTAGAGGGACCTGGCACCCAGACCACTTCATTGAGCTGATATGATCTGGGTGTCTGTAGTGATCCTTTAAGTGTGTGTGCATACCACGGTCGCGGGGTCGCAGCCCTGCAACCCCTGCGACCAGGTGCCTGCCGCCATGTGTTGCGGCCCCGACCCGCGCCGGATGGTGAATGGAAACTATGCAGCATTAAAATGGGCTATGCTAAAGGAATTATTGGAGGCAAGGGGAAGAATAGCTAGCAATAAAACGAAAGCTACCCTTGTGGCCGAACTCTTGGAGGGGGACAGAGCAACCACTGCAGCAGCTCCACAGGAGACAGAGCAAACTGAATTCTCAAAGGAGCTCAGGAGCAGGTTAGCATTTTACCCAAACACCCCCTCCGAAGAGACAAAAAGCAGGCTGATGGCAGATGTACCTTGTGGTTAAGCAACAAGCCATTCAGCGAGCCGGGGAGGGAGCCCCAGCTCCCGCCAGCATTACCCAGGGGAAAGCCAAGATTCCCTACGAAGCCTTTAAAAGCTACACGGAAGCAGAAGGCGATATCGATGAAAGGCTGTGCCAGCTACATGACATCAGCCCAGCAAATCGGGTACCCCTGCTTGCCGCTAGACTATCAGGCCAAGCAGCAGAGGCGTACCGGGCTGTTCCAGACGAAGACAGCAGGGATTATCCAAAGGTCAAGCAGGCCATCTTAGCATGGTATGCCAGCACCTCAGAGGCATCCCGGCTCAAATTCCGGGACATTAAGAAACAAGTGAAACAGTCACACACAGAATGGCCCCACTGACTGCAGCGATCCACCAAGGGATGGATGGAAGTGACACAGGTCACCACTCTGAAGGATCTGTTCCAGTTAATCGTACTGGAGCAGTTCTTCATAGGACTGACCGCAGAACTACAAAATTTGGTACGAGACCGCAAACCCCGTACCCTACCAGAGGCAGCCAAGTTGGCTGACGAATACCAGGACACTAGGCCAGACCAACAAACAACACCAGGCCGCTTATAGATCTACCGCCCCTCTTCCAGCAGTGGCCACTTCAGCCCATCCACGACCAAGGGTAAGCAACAACTCGTACTCTCACAGGTACAATACCCGACCACCAATCTGCTGCCATACCCAGTGGTGTACACATGACCCATGGGGCCCCGGTGCGAAAATTGATCCGTGCCCCCCCCCGCGTGCGGGCCGGGCCACCTCACATGGCGGTGGGCACCTGGTCGCAGGGGTTACAGGGCTGCGACCCCTGCAACCGCTGTATATACGCCAGTGCATGCAGATGCACACACACTTAAAGGACCACTACAGACACCCAGATCACATCAGCTCAATGAAGTTGTCTGGGTGTCAGGTCCCTCTAGTTTTAACCCTGCAGCTGAAAACATAGCAGTTTCAGAGAAACTGCTATGTTTCACTGAGGGTTAATCCAGCCTCTAGTGGCTGTCTCACTGACAGCCGCTAGAGGAGCACCTGAACGTCCATAGGAAAGCATTGAGCTGAGAGGCTGAGGGATCCCCAGCGCCAAGGGAGTCCGCGCTGGAGAAAGGTAAGTGCTGAAGACACACACACACACACACACTTACAGACGCATACACACTAGCTAACAGACACACACATTTACTGACAGAGACACACTCAGCGACAGACATACATACACACTCACTTACAAAACATACACTTTCACTGACAAACACAATCACTGACAGACATCAAACAGACTCACTAACACACACACACTCAGTAAGACACACACAGTAACACACTCACTGACACTCACTAGCAGACACACACACTAACACTTACTCTAACACTCACACACACTAACACTCACTAGCAGACACTCACTCTAACACTCACACTAACACTACTCACTCTAACACTCACACACACACACACACACACACACACACTCTAACACTCAAACACTAACACATGTTTTGTATTTTTTTTTTTTTATTTAATCCCCCCAGCCTCTTTACCTTTTGGAGTGCTGGGGGGATTCCCAGTGGTGCTGCTGGGCTCCTGGGCGGGTGGCCGGTCGGGCAGGCGGGCAGGCGGGCACGTGAGGGAGCACTCAGTGCTTCCTCTTCAGCTCCCTTGCGTGCCGCGTAGGGATGCTGGCGCCGGAAGATAACGTCATCTTCCGGCTCCGGCATCAGTGCGGTGCGCGAGGGAGTTGAAGAGGAAGCACTGAGTGCTTCCTCGCGCGCCCGCCTGCCCGACCGGCCACCCGTCTGCCGGGTGACAGCAGGGCCAGCCTCTGGGGCCCCTGGGGTGGTCGGCTACTGGGCCCCCCAGGGGAAGAGGCTGGCCCTGTGGGTACATACCGGGTCGCAGGGGCGGCCGGGCCCCCTGGTGGGCCGGGCCCGGTCGCAGCCACGACCCCTGCGACCCTGGTATTCAAAAAGATTGCCCACGGAACAGGAACCAACCAACCTGGCATAACCAGGGGCCACCACCCCATAACTGAGCATAACACTGTTACCAAAAAGAACTCTTTGTCCCACACACGACAGCCATATCCGTAGAAGAACCCCTGGGAACCCTGCACGAAGTGAACCCCATACAAGCCGCCTCAGACAACCGACAGGGGAACCGCCAGGTGGTACACATGGAGGGAAAGCGTATACAAGGATTACGTGACTCTGGGGCTACCTTGACTCTTGCCCGGAATCATCTGGTTCCAAAGAACAATCTCACTGGGGACTGTGTGGCCATATGAGTGGCAGGGGGAGCAATTTACAAAGTCCCCACTGCCAAGGTACATTTGGATTGGGGAGCAGGGCATGGGAATGTGGAGGTGGGGATTGTGCAGGATTTGCCTGCTGATGTGATCTTGGGCAACGACTTTTGGGAGCTCACATCCGCCTTTGTTCCCCAACCCACTGTCCAAGAAGACCCTGTTGTTACTCGACAGCTCCATCCGATCACTCTGGGGCTCAGGTAAGCAATCAGCCCCACACCCCTCCTGTTCTGCCCTGGGATGCTCCCTTAGAATTTGGCAGCGAGGTAGCCCTAGATCCTTCCCTGCAGGTATATAAAGATCGTATAGACAAGAATCAGGCAGGCCTAGAAGGAGAGAGGTATGCCTGGGATAAGGGTTTATTATACCACTAAGCAGAGAAGGTAGAGGCCGGGTCTATCCCCATGCCCACAAAGCAGTTAATTGTGCCCCGCAAGTATAGGTAAGAGTTACTGCGCATTGCGTACAATATACCCTTTTTAGGACATTTAGGAATCAGCCGAACCAAACATCGGCTGACTCAGAACTTCTTCTGGCCAGGTATCCCAAAGGATATTAGACAATACTGTCAAACCTGCGATACCTGCCAGAGGGTAGGAAAGAGAGGAGACCGCTATAAAGCCAAGCTCCGTTCCCTGCCCATAATCAAAGAACCCTTTAGTCAGGTGGCCGTGGACATAATAGGACCCCTAGCCAAACCCAGTCCCTCCCGGTAAGAAGTACATCTTGACCGTAGTGGACTATGCCACTAGATTCCCTGACCAATGTACATGCCGAAACCATAGCGGATGCCCTTATGCAAATCTTCTCTCGCATGGGATTTCGGATACGGGCACCCAATTTACTGCGGAGGTCACCCACCAACTCTGGAAGGTATGTGGGATAAAGCCTATCCTAAACTCAGCCTACCAACCCCAGTCTAATGGTCTCTGTGAACAGTTTAACAGAACACTTAAACAGATGATCCGTACGTTCATAGACACTCAGACGGACTGGCAACGGTTCTTACCCCACTTATTGTTTGCATATAGGGAAGTGCCCCAAGAGTCCACTGGGTTCTCTCCATTTAAATTATAGATCTTATTAGGGAACACTGGGAGGGGGGAGTGTGGCGAAACCGACCTCGCCACTGGGCATTGGAGAAGACTGATTGCCAGCCTCCTGCCATGTGACCATGGCCCCTGGGATGTATTGCCCTTTAAAGACATGATTTGGGCATAATGGATTTGTGTTGTCCTGCTGCTGGCCCTTTAAGAACCATCTGGGGACATACTGTGGAGTTACTGGGTGGCCACCATTTCATGTATCAGAGGCACATAGTGATAACAATGGATGAAGCACATGGTGAGAACAATGGATGAAGCACATGGTGAGAACAATGGATGGCGGCCATTTTAACTCACAGACACTGTTTGGACTTTTCAACACGGTGCCATCTCGCCAGTATTTGGTGCACAGAGACATCGTGCAGTGGTTTTGGACTATACAGCAGGGGACACATTATACAGTGATTGTTTTTCATTTAGCCTGTATATGTTTTGCAGAATCTGCATTAAACTGTATCTTCCAAAGTACTGAACGGATCTGGGTGAATTTTGGATATGTGGTTCACCCCCATATTTTATGGGGTTATTGCATGTTTTGGGGTCCCTGTGATGTGTTTTATGAAACTGTATTTCTCTGTCTATGATAATTAGATTACCCATTGTGTAAGGTAATTGTATCACAGGCAGAGGGGAGGATTTTGTGTGGGAGTGTCTTTCTGTAAGGTACGTGTGTTATTGGTTGTTCTGTAAAACCCTGTGGGCAGTACTAAGTTTGTGGATTGGGAATAAAAGAGGCTGTATGTGCCAGTACTGTCAGTTCCTGCTTAACCCTCAAAGTGAAGTGTCGTCTCATTATTGGGGGAAGATTTATTGTATGCTGTTCCAGTTTGACTGCTAGGAGTGTAAACCTATTCACATGGTTTTTCCTATTCAGCTTTATACAACATTCCTATGCTTGAGAGCATTCATATGCTCCTACGGTTTGGTGGTTTTGGTGTCTGCTTCAGTGCTTGGAGTCCTCAGGAAGTGCTAGGAGCATCCTTCAACGGAGGTACCCAGTCGGGGTGCCAGGTGATCCGTTACAGGGAGTAACTACGAATGGTACCCCTATCGTCCCATATGTGCTAAATCCTTCTGTAAAATCCTTTATTGGAATCGCCATCAGCTGCTTCCTTTTATTTACCTGCATCTCATTGACGGTCTAAAATCTTTTCCCTTACCAAAGTAATTTTAGGTTTGGGAAAAGCCAGAAGTCGCATATAGCCAAATCTGGGCTGCAGGGGGCTGTGCCACCTGGGTGATTTTATTTGCGCTGCACACATTGCATTGTCCCCGAAAGCCTTCTGAATCATCTGAATAGTTTCCATGAATGAATGTTCAAGCTTAGCACAAACTTGAATGCAGATGCATTACTGTTCTCACTCAGTCACTTGAATGCGACGGCCACACAGTACACAAGCTCACTCAACGGCATCTAGCACCCCCTCTGACTAGTACAGTGACGTAGTCATTGTTCACGGATGAACATACCAGTCTTCTCTCCTTGGCCAGGATGTCACGCAAACCATTCTCATTATATTGGGTGGACTTTTTCCGTACAGACCTTGTATATTACTATATCCGTTCTGGTGTATAAACGTGTAGGTATGTATATATATATATATTACTGTATGGGAGACAGACACAATATTACTCTATGGGAGAAAGAAGTTTTGAACCCCTGTTTAGCTCTATATTGAGAAGACAATCCTGATATGTTCATTATAATCACTCCATAGGAGATTACAGGACAGACACCAAGCTTTCTCACCTGGCTTTACGTTTGCGGACCTTGCGAGCATATTCAGCCTCTTCATAATATCTCTCCTTGTAACTGGATGAAGTCGAGATCAGAGATTGAGATTGTCTGACTGTACTTTCTTCTGGACCTGTGGGAGGGAGAGACAGTTAAAGAGAAATCCTTTGATAAGCTGCAAAGTGTCTGCACCCATTCTCTGGGTCAACCAGTCTGGAAAGATCACTCTTTAATGATTCTTTTTGTATTTATACTGCCCACACTTTAAATATTTATCAAATATTTACGGGAGAGTTATGGGTGAGATCAATGTGTCCTCCATCCTTCTAGGTTACAGGAGAGCTATTGGTGGGTGAGATCAGGTGCAGTCAGTTATCACTTTTGTCTATTGCTTTTGGACTTTATGAAAAATATCAAAACCTGCAGCTTCACATACTCACCATCCACATTGTACATTTTAACACCAAGGATCTGAGATTGCTTTGCCGGTTTCTTGGCTGCCAGATATGAAGATTTAAAGACAGGGAAGTCCTTGTGATAATTCTCCAGAACAAACAGCGCCGCTCTCTGTATACTGAACATGTGGGAAAATCCAATAGAACTTTGAGGATTGCTCATATTTAATTACATGAATCCATTAGTCTAACAAGAGATGGTTACAGCTTGAAGGAAGGCATAAGAGTGATCAAGTATCATGGGGAATGATGACAGTGGTATTAGCCAGGACTGGCTTATAGTTAAACATTCTGTGGGTATGGGAGGGCAACAGATGTATAGTCAAGATGGAAAGCAAGATTCAGAAGACAAAGAACAGGTCAATTTGTGAAAATATTTAACTATTGGTTATTAGTGTAGACAATCAGAGTTAGTAATGCATTAGAAATATGCCACTAGGCTTGTCATTGTCACAACTCGTTGACCAAATGAAAATAATGGAATTGCCTATCCCATCTCATAGGTTGGGTCCACAGTGACTGCTATGGCTCTTCTCATTTCTAGGTACCACAAACAATTTAATTTAATCAGTCCCCTCATTACTTAGAAACATTTACCTGAGTTTTCCAAGACTGTAGAATCTGGACTCCCCATCCCTGCTTCGCATGACCTTAAGGAAGAAGAAGGGCTGCAGCTGTCGGAGCTCCAGCAAAACCACTGCAAGGTAATGGATGAAGATAAGAGCATCCAGCAAGGAAGCTGAATATTGCACCACACCCAGCAAGTTCTTTTCATTCCCCCCAAGAACTCGTACTCCATAAAACAGCCAGTAAGACATAAGGAGCAGGAAGAGCAGCAGGAGAAGCAGAGCATGGAACTCCACCAGACGAGGGAGAGAGCTACTTGGGCGTCGCAGGAAAACTGCCCAGGATCCCAAGATCAACAGCAACATTTTAAAGGCCACAGAGATGTAAAGTCCCTCACAAATGACTCCACATGGCTCCATCTCAGGCCCCCACACAATATGTGGGATTGTAATAAATGCGGGGGGGGTGAGGAGTGCAACCGCACCTAGAATACAGAAGACATAGAACCCCAAAAGAGTCCGTATGTTTGGCTTTGTCCTCTCAGTAACTGTGTAGAGCTCTGTCTGAGTCAGATCTTGTACCGACGTGCTGCGCTCTGAGGTCACTGCAGTAGTAGTCTCAGCCCAGTTATCATCCTATAATAAGAAGGAGATGAAATAATGCTTAATATAAAAAAAATGGGTAACATAATGACAAGTAATGAGTAAAGCTTCGGATTCCTGATTATCTGCTCACTGTGCCTGGCTGCTCTGGATCTGACACACTGCCCTCTGATTGGGGATCTGGACCATCAATGTGAGGTGTTCAGTAAGTATGGTTGAATGGGTAAGGCAGTGGCTGAGTGACAGGCAACAGAGGGTTGTAGTTAATGGAATATATTCAAAGCTTGGACTTGTCACCAGTGGGGTACCTCAGGGATCTGTACTTGCACCCATTCTCTTTAATATTTTTATTAGTGATATTGCAGAAGGTCTTGATGGTAAGGTATGTCTTTTTGACGATGATACTAAAATTTACAATAGGGTTGATGTTCTAGGGGGGATAAGCCAAATGGCAAATTATTTAGGTATATTGGAAAAATGGTCAGAGTTGTGGCAACTGACATTTAATGTGGATAAGTGCAAGATAATGCATCTTGGATGTAAAAACCCAAGGGCAGAGTATAGATTATTTGATACCCTACTAACCTCAACATCCGAGGAAAAGTATTTAGGAGTAATTATATCACATGACTGAAATGCTAGCAGAATGCTTGGTTGTATAGGAGAAGTATTAGCACTAGAAAGACAGAAGTGCTCATGCCATTGTACAGAACACTGGTGAGACCTCACTTGGTATTGTACGCAGTACTGGAGAACATATCTTCAGAAGGATATTGATACTTTGGAGAGAGTTCAGAGAAGGGCTACTAAACTGGTTCATGGATTGCAGGATAAAACTTACCAGGAAAGGTTAAAGAATCTTAACATGTATAGCTTGGAGGAAAGACGAGTCGGGGGATAGGATAGAAACATTTAAATACATATAGGGAATCAACACAGTAAAGGAGGAGACTATATTTAAAAGAAGAAAACCTACCACAACAAGAGGACATAATCTTTTTAGAGGGGAAAAGGTTTAAAAATAATATCAGGAAGTATTACTTTACAGAGAGGGTAGTGGACGCATGAAATAGCCTCCCTGCTGAAGTGGTAGTGGTTAACACAGTGAGGGAGTTTAAGCGTGCATGGGATAGCTATAAGGCTATCCTAGACTTAAGATAAGGCCACGGACTAATCCAAGTATTTGAAAATTGGGCAGACTAGATGGGCCGAATGGTTCTTATCTGCCATCACATTCTATGTTTCTATGGTGGAGGACTGGAGCAATATCTGTCCAGATGCAGGCCACAGCCCAACATATGAGCTGGTGGAATAAAAGACCCCACCTTATTATCTTACCCAATAAAACACAAACACCGATCTTATATGAGTCAATAAGTCCATATCTTTATTAAATATATAAATTATAACATAACATGAGAACATGAATAATTAAAGTCATTGCCTCCCACCCCACCTATAACATGACATATCCCTCTGTCACAAAAAAGGCAATGTAGCGGAATGGGCATGTGCAAGTTACTTTTTATTCCCTACAGTGGCTGTCCTTATCTTCTCCCCTTGTTATTTTGTGTGTTTTGCCGGTTATTTCGTGTGGTTCTCCTTTGGCCGTTCGGGAGACTTCATACGAATGGAATCCATTCGTCTCCCGAGCAAGGACCACCCCTGTACCCCATTAGAACGTTAACACCAACCACTTAAGTGCGAAACCGCAAGGGAAACAATTAATGAATGCACTCTTGGGTGGCCGCCATTATGTGTAACCAAACACGTGGCTGGGAGAATCGCGGCAATATTGTCTCCTCCGAACGAGGGCAGCGGTACTTGGTTGTCGAGTGCCTGGAACTATTTTCGGCTTGGCGCGAACACCGGTAAACTGCCGACCACCTACACAGGAACCTCACGAACAGAGACCGGCCAGGGCACCTAATCTCCTGGAACTATTCTCGACTACCACCTCGTGTCTGGCCAGTCAAATCTTCACGATGCCATTCCCATTCTACCGAACCGATCTGAGTGATTCTTGGATATGTTGGTCTCTCAGATCGGGACTATCAGGGAATGTACTTTTTGTGGGGTTCCTATGTATGGTTGGTGGACTTTTGGGGTACGGGATATTTTTGTGATTTTTTTGTGCTTGAGAGATAATTAAATTGGAGGAGTTTACTCAGGCAATTATCTCTCAAGCACAAAGGATCCTAGGATTGAAACCCTTGTATTTTCTGCCTGTGAAACCCCTTGCATGGGAGATGACATAAAAGCTGTGTATGTGACAATAAAAATCAGTTATACCCCCAGAGCTGAGTGTCGTCCAGTTGCTGGGGATGAGGTTGGAGATTCCTGGATTATTTTACTGTGTTTGGCTGTTCCATTGGAGTGTGTTGCCTGTTCCTGAGTATATATTGGAGTACCCAGTGGAGGAGAGTCCCTGCTAGGACTAGGGCTCTGCTACAGGCAATGACCCATATTTTCAGCAATAAACATACATTATAACAAACAATCAACGTCATAACCATAATACATAAAGTGCCATTAGGTTCTGAGCTACCGACAAGCTTGAAACCTACCAAACTTAAACATGAACAGTATTAACCCCTTCCTAACCAACAGAATAACTACCCTGTACTTAACCAAGAGCCTGTTTTCCCCCTAAACCTTAGCTCACTAACCCTGCCGCTGTGACAAAGCGAGGCATAACCCTTGCAAACCCCCAATCCCCTTAGGGAGGGCGGGAGGGACAAATTCAGCCCAGTAAGTAAATTAAACTAAGGGGATCTAAAATGGCTTTCTACTTATACTGTATCAGCCCACTAGTTAGATCTCTCAATTACAACACACTTATCACCTAAACCCGCCTTCTAGCTCTGTCAAGGCCCTATCCACTAAGCTGTGCTTGTTTCTTGGGGCTACATGGGAACTGGCAATGCACATAGGCCTTGGCCCTGTCTCAAGTCAGAGGCCTAGGCAGGTTTATAGGAGAACACAGTATTCATGCAGGGCTGGATTAACATAGGGGCTGATGGAGCTGCAGCTCCAGGCCCAGGCCCATGGAATTGGCCCATTTAAAAAAAAATATATATATATATATATATATATATATATATATTTATTTTTTTTACACACTACTCTTGGGTTTGCCACCTGACTGGTATTTTACTGGCACAAAATTTATTTTATTTTTTTAAATCGTGTATGCGAGATTGACAGACTTCCTCGAGTCCATCTCTCTGCTAGACCCGCTTCAGTCTTGTTTCCGCGCTAAGCACCAAAGTATCCAATGATCTACTCACTGCAAAATCTCGTGGTCACTACTCTATCCTAATTCTCCTTGACCTGTCTGCGGCTTTTGACACTGTTGATCATCAACAGCTTCTTCTCATCCTCCGCAACATCGGTCTACAAGATAGTGCTCTCTCCTGGTGCTCCTCCTACCTCTCCCAGCGTTCTTTCAGTGTTTCTTTCTCTGGCTCTGCTTCTTCTCCCCAACTCCTCTCTGTTGGTGTCCCCCAAGGTTCAGTCCTTGGTCCCCTACTGTTTTCCATCTATACTGCCTCCCTTGGTAAACTCATTTGCTCCTTTGGCTTCCAATATCATTTCTATGCAGATGACAAATCTACCTGTCATCTCCTGATCTCTCCCCGTCCCTCTAGACTAGTATCGCTAACTGCCTCTCTGCTGTTTCTAACTGGATGGCTGCCCACTTCCTTAAACTAAACTTGACTGTGACGGAACGCTGGCACTCCGACTGAGTACCTCCGCCAATCGATGCTCCTAGTGCTCGCTGAGGACTCCAAGCACTCTAACCGACACCATCAGCACTGCAGACCCCACTTCCAGCGATACAGCTGCGCCGGGGTCTCGCTGTTTCCACCCACCCTGGAAACCACGACCAGGATCCAGCTCCCAGTGGGTGAACCTCTCCTAAATCCAGAGAGCATAGCAGGAACAAATCAAGCTATTGCAAGAGCTTACTCTGGGGAGTAAGTGATTATAGCAATCCCCAGAGTGTAGGTATCCCTTCCCCCAAACATGAGCCAAGGCTTCAAGAAAGTTACAAGATGATCTGGTTTTAATGATCACACACTGGCTTTTATGCAAGTCCCCATACAAGGGGACATCCCACAGGGTGGGACCCAGTATAACCAATCACAGACAATACAAACAAAACACTCCCACAGTGACATCACAATCCCTCCTCTCTATCCTGGAGATAATTGGGAAGTAATCAAATTTTCTCCCAGGACAGAGGCAAGACTCCATTAACCACATGGTTACAAAAAGACATAAAATTACACAATGTTACAATTACTATATAAAACATATACATGCAACATATCCCCAGATAGCTTAGATCTGAGTGCACATTATTATTGAATGGAGCTCAGATCACATACATACAATTCAATCGCCATGGAGCCAAAGTCTTTTCCATAGTCTTTTGTTACACAAATAGGCTCCATGGCATAGCTATCTGGGATAGCACTACTACCATACTGAAAGTCCAGAATGCCCCAGCAGAAATACACAAATAAACCTTTCTGCAGGGGAAAATATCGCTATCAGCACATGGGCCATAGTCGGAAGGCAGGAGGCTAGCCAGTAGTCCCCTCCAGGCACAAGTGGCGAAGGGCACTTCGTCACATTGACCAAAACTGAAATTCTGGTCTTTCCTCCCTCAAGTGTTGTTACTCCTGTGTCTGTCTCCCTCCAAGTCAACGGTGCTACCATCAGCTCCACCATGCAGGCTCGCTGCCTGGGTGTTCTCTTTGACTCCGACCTCTCCTTCAAGCCTCATGTTCAATCTATCACCAAATCCTGTCATTTCTCAAAAACATTGCGCGCATCCGCCCCTACTTAACGCCAGATGCGACTAAGGTGTTGGTCCATTCCACTGTGATTTCTCGCCTTGACTACTGTAAGCCGCTTCTCAGTGGTCTTACGTGCTCCCAACTTGCGCCGTTACAGTCCATAATGAATGCGGCATCGAGGCTCAGCTTCCTGTCCGCCCGCACCTCCCATGCCTCACCCTTCTGTCAGTCCCTACATTGGCTTCCTATAAAATATAGAGCTCAATTTAAAATTCTGGTTCTTGCTTTCAAATCTCTACATAATGCTGCTCCCACCTATCTATCCTCCCTTATACACAAGTATGTCCCGTCTAGGCCCTTACGATCTGCTGAAGACTTACGTCTATCTTCTGTCCGTACTCCCACCTCTGATGCTCGCCTTCAAGATTTCTCGAGGGCTGCACCGTTCCTGTGGAACTCGCTTCCCTCCTCCGTTAGATGCTCACCCAGTCTCCAATCCTTCAAAAAATCGTTAAAAACCCACTTCTTCATAAAAGCGTATCAATTAAACTGTTAATAGCTCCCGACTGATTCCTCTTCTGCAACTGTCACTAGTCTAATACTATCCTTACCTTTTTGTGTCATTTTACCCCACTCCCTCTAGAATGTAAGTGTAAGAATATTAAATAGTTAACTTGTTTATATGTATTTTATGCTTTTATAAGGTTTATAACATGATTATTGCTGACTGAAGGAATATTGAATACTTAAACGACATAATATGCTGACTGTGACAGACTAAGGTATTTCTTCTATAGGATGTAAGACAATGCTAAAATTTCAGGATGTCTTGCCCATTCCGATTTCAGGATATTCTTTTCCAGACGTATGCAAAAGCTTATCTTTCCATTGTCAGAATAACGTAATATAAGGAAGTAATAAATCTTATACTGTACTGTACTGTATTCTGTACTGTATTTGCATATACCATGGCTAATGTAAGCAAACTATGTATAAAAGCCAGCTCTGGAATACACTCATTTGAGAGTCTTGTAAAGCTGTTGTCCGTGTGTTATTGCTTACAAATGATTCTCCATCAACGTTGATTATGGTGACCGAGGGATCGAGAACCGAGGGGATTAGAGTCCATTACAACATTAATCCTTTCAGCTTGGTGTCTAGAAGTGGGATAGAAGTTGGATCAGCAAAACCATTTGCGGTGAGTAGCCTTTTTGTGTCTTATTGACGCTGATTGTCTATGACCCCCGTTTGGTTCAGTAAGACTGTATCCAGTAGATAGGAAAGGTGTAAGGACTCTAGTTATATTGAGACTATAAGAGGTCTCCGGTTTATTAGACATTTGGTCTAAATATATATAGGGGTTCTTGGTAACCCAGGTTAGTATCTAAGATAGATACAGGTTTTTGAGACCATAAGAGGTCTCCGGTTTATTATAGGGTTTTGGTAACCCAGGTTAGTATCTAAGATAGATACAGGGTATCTCAGGTAGATACAGGTTTTGAGACCATAAGAGGTCTCTGGTTTATTAAGTCTATAGGTGTTCTGAGCAGCACGGTTTGTAGATCTATAAGTATAACCCAAACTTCTCTTTCTCCCGGTCACCTTTGTTTGTCTTAAGTGTTTTTTTTGTGGGTGATTGTTTGTCTATATTGGGGACACACTTTGGTAAGTTAGTAGTGTCCCCACTCTGAGTCAGCAGTATGGGAAATGTGAGTTCATGTCCTGAGTGACCAATATATGTACATGTATATGTGTGTGTATGTATATATGTGTATATGTATGTATATATGTGTGTGTATATGTATATGTGTATATATAAGATAGCAGTACTTTTAAACAAATTGAGGTTTTAAAAATACATAAGGATTAAGGAGAGAACGCAGGTAACTTGTTTTTCTTTGGTTTTTACCATATATTGGGGCTGATGTGTACTGTAGTCCTTGCTGCTGCCCAGTAGTGATGGGAGTGAGCGCAGGACTTATCTTTCTGCAAGATAGCAGTACTGTATATTAGAAAAGAAATGACTCACAGGTTGTACCTGATAGACCTACTTAAATCTTTTTACTTTATTCTTTCTGTTGCATAGAAGTATAAGTTTATTACTCTGTTTTATTGTAAGTTATTTCACATGGGAACTGTGTGCCTGGAATGATTGTTGCTTTAAAAATACTATAAGCCCACTACACTTATTATGAGAGTGGGATAGTGTAAATGTGTTGCATTGTTTGCATGATAAGCTCAGTATTTTTATAACTGAGACAAAAGTCACTTCATTAGTATTTGAAAGTTAATTCCCCATATGGGATTAATTGTATAGAAACACCAATCAGCACATCTTCCCTGCCCTGTGTGTTTGTTGCAAAGGATCCATACTAAATATGATTTATGTTTGAAAATAACAGAGCAACATTTACATTTTCAGCGGTCCAACACATGCTTTATTTTGCACTTTAAACTAACCTTTTTATTGCAACAGGTTCCTTTTAAATGATCCAGTGTAATAACTACTGCTTGTGTCTTCTATGTCTCACATTATGTGTTCTTTTAAATTGTGGTATATAGCCTGAATCAGACATCATGGACAAAAGGTTTTTACCTGTATTACAAAGGGCTCTTGGAGACTGACCGGTCTAAAGGTTTGCCATGCCTTTAAAACATGGTATAGTATAAATTTTTTTAAGTCTCTGAGAGTTCTGAAAGATTCAGGTGAAACCATGTCTGTTTAATCTGGTCCAGATGTTTGTTCAATTTCTATAAGATTTAAATTGATGCAGCATCATCTCAGATTAGTTAATGGTAGTTTTATACAAATAGTTGAGTTATGAGCGCGCTATATAAATGGATCCTTTCTTTAAATACAATACTATAGTAGATTAAAGTAATGATGTTAATTAAGAAAATGTATACATAAGAATCCCTAAAATAAATCTAAACTAAAATTGGTATACCTTCCAATAATATGTTCTGAATACAGCTGTTAACTGTTTATTCTGTGTAAATGGTGATTGTGATAATGTGTGATAAGTGTGCAGTTTAACTTGAAAGTGGTTTAATTTATATGTTGCTGTGTTGTTTTAAATTATATGTGAATCAGTTTGTCACAGTCTAGTGATACTGATAAGAATGACAGCCAAATAACCTAGCAAATAACTGTTTTATTAGTTGTTGAATACTAGCGTTTTGGCCAAGAATAGTTGGAGATTTGGAGGGGTTAGTTTAAGATTGCTTTTATATTGTGTCTATCCGTGTTTCCTAGGAGGGAGACAGAGTGTGTAGTTGTGTGCCCATAAATGTGATTTCTGTATTGGCATATCTGCTGGGTACCCATTATGTGTTTCTACAAAGATATTGTTTTATGAGATGACTAATATTACATTGGATGCTGAGTATGAGTTATATGGTTTGAAATGAATTGGTGATTATGAGCTTAGTACTTCAGTAAGATGTGCTAAAATTTGGAACAAGGTGGAAGCTGAAATGTTGGGATTATGGAAGAATAAGCAGTCTATATTCACTGCTTTGGCATATAAGCAAGATGCAAAGGAAGAGATTGGTAATATGATTTTTGTAAATAAATTTTACAAGTGTTGGAAGGATGAGGCAGGTTTGATGTCTGGAGATGATATAGATTTCTTTAAAATACAGTCATGCCTTGGTAATATGTTGCCACAGTATTCTTTGCTTGTGAAACAATTGATTTCAGACTGGGCCAATTTGGATAGCTCAGATTTTCTTACCAAGGTTATAGAAAAGGAAAATGCAGGTTGTTTTGACTTAAGAAAAGATTTAGGAAAGTAAGGTTGCTTATTATGCTCAGGGATTACAACATATTATGTCCAGCTACACAGGCTGAGAGCGAGGATGGGATGGAGCACATAAAGCCAGTGGAAGGGGTGGTCAAAGAGGGGCAAGGGGATGGAGACAAGGAAATCAGGGTTATAGGGGCAGGGGTAACCAAGGAGGAATAGACAGGAACACTTGTTTCAATGTGGCCACTGGAGGAATGAGTGTCCACACCCCAGGAAACCCCACACACCCCAACAACCCCACCTTTCTCAAAATATGCCCTGTAGGCAAGAACAACACCAGACCCACTCCCAACACCACTGGCCAGCATATCGCTTAGTTCAGGACTTTAGAGCCCTGAATAGTTTAATTGTGCCCATTTCACCCATTGTCCCTGATGTGACATCCCTCATTACAGCCATTCCACATGATGCCACTTGCTTCACTGTCATTGATTTAAGTAATGCATTTTTTTCTATACCTATTGATCAAGAGACACAGCTACTTATGGTTTTTACTTTTGAAGGCTGTCAGTTTACCTGGACACGCTTACCCAAGGCTATGTGGATTCCCCAGCTGTTTATTCGCTGGTACTCCAACATACTCTAAAAAAAACATGGACCATCGGTCATGGTTCCGTCCTTTTTGCAAAATGTTGATGATTTGTTGTTATGTAGCCCTAGCTATGAGGCAAGCACTGTGGATACTGTCAGCAACTGTAGGTCACAAGGTTGTTAAACACAAAATGCAATTGTGTAAATCAAAGGTTGATTACTTAGGTTTTGTTCTGGCTTCAGGCACCAGACAATTGAGTCCAAAACGTATTGAGGTCATTCAGAGGATTCCAACACCCACTACTCGGAAGGAGTTGCTCACCTTCCTCGGCATGATTAATTACTGCCACCATGGATCCCTGAATGCTCCCATTATGACTCAATCCTAAGGGAGGCTGTACGTTCTGACAGCCCTGAAAATGTCTGCTGGTCACCAGACATGCTAGCTGCATATATTGCCCTTACAGTTGTTATTGTGCAAGCCCAGGCTTTATGACTACCTGTGTATTGTAAACCATTTCATTTGTATGCTTGGGACAATTGTAAAACCATGGCCGCGGTCTGTGCACAAGAGCAAGGAGGCGGTATGCGTCCCATAGCATTCTTTTCCAAAGTAGTTCGAGCTCCGGTACAGGGTATGCCGGCGTGTCTCAGAGCATTGATAGCATGTGCAATGGCTGTTGAAACTGCTACTACTATCACACTAGGGCATCATACAATACTTCATGCCAGTCACCAGGTCACTCAGCTGATAATAAATATCACCATACAACACATGACAGCCCAGCGCTTCAGTGGTTATGAGATTTTTTTTTTTTTAAATACCCAGAATCTGTCTTTTGGATTAAACAAGGTTTAGAGAAAGATCAAAATGATCTGTTCTCTAAAGAGGGGAGAATAGGCATACTTGAAGAATAGGCATACTTGAAGCAAGCTGATTTATTTTCATCAGTCAGGCATATAGCAAGCACCATTCAATTCTTCATGAATTCATTTTATATTAGGAATCTCAGGCAGCATGTACAGTCTTTTGTAAGATCGTGTGAACGCTGCTCTTTTTACACACTTACAGATTGATTTTATTTATGTATCCAAAATTGGTAAGAAACAGCAATACTTACTGGTCATAGTTGATCAGTTTAGTAGATGGCATGAGGCCTTTGTGACATCTAGGGAAGATGCTAGTGAAGATTATTGTTACTGAAATTATTCCCCGGTATTGCTGCCCTCTGCAGATTGGCTCTGATAATGGCCCGGTTTTTGCAAGTGGGGTTGCCCAGGAACTTGCTAAATTCTTGCAAGTTACCTGGCAGTTTCATATACCCTATCATCCACAGAATACAGGGGTTGTTGAAAGGATGAATAGGACTATTAAGGAAAAGCCCAGAATTTACCCAGGAACATGGGTAAATTGGACTAGATATCTACCAACTATTTTAGCTGAGATAAGAATGAATCCCCACAAGGTGACTAAATTATCTCCATTTGAGATTTTGATGGGATGACCTTTTCCCACACCCTGGGCCAGGGAACCGCTTGTTATAATGTCGGGGGATTTACAGCTAATACAAGAAAAATATGTACAGGAATTGTTGATAAAACCGAATGGTATGTATGACAATGTTTCTTCGCAGTTTTCCCTTACCTTCACAGGAACCTACTCATTCATACCAGCCCGGTGACAAGGAGTATATCCGTCAGCTGAACAGGACCAAGAAAGGAGGATACCCTTTTGGACCACCTGCTACTGTGATTGCTGTACCCAGAACCGCTGTCCTCACAGATTCCCACGACATCTGGATTCACGCATCCCGAGTGAAGCTGTGTCCAAAGAGGGGAACCAAGGAAGACAACACCACTCCTCGCTCGGAAACAGAAGAATTTCTCCTCAGCGAAGCGTCATGGCTTTTACATCATATCGTAGATTGAGAGGATCATACGTACCTGAGACCAAGATTATGTTGTGTGCTATGCTTTCTGGAGTTGTTATACTCCCTCTGATATTGTTCCTTGAATGCCATTATGAGTACAAGTCAATGGCAAGTTCTGTAAAAAGACTCTGACATGATGAACAATTCTTCAATACCCCAGCCCAATTAGGCCTTAGCCCCTCATCTAGCATTCGTCACACACGCCCCCTCAAGAACCTTTCTCCACCACCTTTCTATCAGCATGTAATATGCAATCATTCATTCAATGAACGCATTTGGATGAATTGGACAAATAGTAACCCTTATAAGTACCAGTTACCCATATGAAATGTGTCCACAGCTAATGAAACCGATGCATTATGTTTGTTTAAAGGTTCACAGAAAATTGTTAGATCTTATAACGCAGAAATGTGCACAGTTAAGGTTGCATATCAATGTAAATAGACAGGCCTTATTACTTTTAATAATGATTATATAACTGGTATCATTAATTGGAAAAAGGGCCAAATGTTAGTCATTATGAACGACACTACAATTGAGAACTATACACTACCTTATATTTTTACACCTTATTACTGTCCTTCATCCACTATCATAGAACCAAAAGTCAACCACGACACACACACACCTATTCCGTCCACATGTGTTAATACAACTGCCTTCTTACAAGCTGTACATGTGTCATTAAAAGTCACTACTCCTGTTGTAACATTATGTAATACAACAAACAAAGGCAGAAAAGGGAATGGTATGACACACTGTTAGGAGGTGCTGGAACCACTATGGGTATACTAAATAGTTATAGATATGGAGACCCTCAAGAATAAGTTAAACACAGCCAGCATGCATATAGGGACTGGTTTCCATGCTACTGCAAACTGGGCTCCAATTGTTAAATCACAGGTTACAGGATTGGATTTAGATAAATCAATGTATAATTATTTAGATAATTTAACTGTTGCAACTATGAAATTCACTACAGGTCTAAGTAACTGGAGTACTTGTGCCATCAGGTATTTATGGATACAACAACAAGGATTGGCATTAGAAAACACACTAATGATTCCTAAACTAGAGAAGATTAGAGGAATGTGTAACCTCACAGATAATGAATGGTTACTTCTAAAACCCCAATCCACTAAATGCAATGAATGGTTAACTGGTAATGTTTCACATTTTTCATGCTCATGCTATTTTACATTATATCATACATCATCAAAGGATGTTAAATTAGCTTGTCAATTTAACACATTACCAGTACCAGTTTATGATCTTTTTGCCAAGAATTTAACCTGGTGGGCACCCACATACACAGGGGACTATATTTTTCCCAAAGATAACATACACAGGTAGCCACGCATATCCTAAAAGGAGAACTCCTTAAGGTGAGTTCACAAATTCAGAATGATTTAGCCCATCATTGGTACGATGCTTCACTGGTTGGTCCCCTACTGGATCTCAGATAATGAAATCATTCTTCTATCATTTTGTTATTATAGTCCTGATTTTATTGTGTTTGATTTTATATAACTGTCACCTTACTTGTACATTGAGGAAGAGAGTACAGAAATGAATCCATAATGCAGAACAGAAACAATTAGAACTTCTCCTCTCTGCCACTGGAGGGTATCAACCCATCTTTAAACTGGGCCTTAGGAATTACCACATGGGAATCGAGGTGAAGAAATTAATGAAAGTCCCGCAGGGAGTGACTAGCACCCCTGAAAATACCATGTGGAAGTTTCTCTGTCCTGATAAGATTTTATCGATAAGATGAGCAATTGTTTTATTGCTCAAAGAGGGGAATGTAAGAATATTAAATAGTTAACTTGTTTATATAGCGCTAACAGGTATACACAGCACTTTACAGGTTACATTACAGTAGAGGGAGGTACAGTAAGTGCAGTAGGTATACAGTGTATGTATATTTTATTTATATAGCGCTAACAGGTGTACTCAGTACTTTACAGGTAACATTACAGTAGAGGGAGGTACAGTAAGTGCAGTAGGTATACAGTGTATGTATATTTTAGTTATATAGCGCTAAAAAAGTGTACTCAGTACTTTATAGGTGACATTACAGTAGAGGAAGGTACAGTAAGTGCAGTAGGTATACAGTGTATGTATATTTTATTTATATAGTGCTAATAGGTGTACTCAGCACTTTACAGGTTACATTACAGGTAGAGGGAGGTACAGTAAGTGCAGTAGGTATACAGTGTATGTATATTATATTTATATAGCGCTAACAGGTGTACTCAGCACTTTACAGGTATACATTACAGTAGAGGGAGGTACAGTAAGTGCAGTAGGTATACAGTGTATGTATATATTTATATAGCGCTAACAGGTGTACTACAGCACTTTACAGGTTACATTACAGTAGAGTGTGGAATTAGGTATTTATATAGCGTACAGTGTACAGTAGGTATACAGTGTGTGTATTTATTTATATAGCGCTAACAGGTGTACTCAGCACTTTACAGGTACAGTAACAGTAGATATACAGTGTATGAGTGCTAACAGGTGTACTCAGCACTTTACAGGTTACATTAAGTGCAGTAGGTATACAGTGTATGTATATTTTATATATAACAGGTGTACTCAGCACTTTACAGGTTACATTACAGTAGAGGGAGGTACAGTAAGTGCAGTAGGTATACAGTGTATGTATATTTTATTTATATAGCGCTAACAGGTGTACTCAGCACTTTACAGGTTACATTACAGTAGAGGGAGGTACAGTAAGTGCAGTAGAGGGCTCTAACAGGTGTACTCAGCACTTTACAGGTTACATTACAGTAGAGGGAGGTACAGTAAGTGTAGTAGGTATACAGTGTGTATATTTTATTTATATAGCGCTAACAGGTATACTCAGCACTTTACAGAATATTTATAGTGCAGTAGTATACAGTGTATGTATATTATATTTATATAGCGCTAACAGGTGTACTCAACACTGTACAGGTTACATTACAGTAGAGGAAGGTATAGTAAGTGCAGTAGGTATACAGTGTATGTATATTTTATTTATATAGAGCTAACAGGTGTACTCAGCTCTTTACAGATTACATTACAGTAGAGGGAGGTGCAGTAAGTGCAGTAGGTATACAGTGTATGTATATTATATTTATATAGCGCTAACAGGTGTACTTGGCATTTTACAGGTTACATTACAGTAGAGGGAGGTACAGTAAGTGCATTAGGTATACAGTGTATGTATATTATATTTATATAGCGCTAACAGGTGTACTCAACACTTTACAGGTTACATTACAGTAGAGGGAGGGACAGTAAGTGCAGTAGGTATACAGTGTATGTATATTGTATTTACATAGCGCTAACATGTATACTCAGCACTTTACAGGTTACATTACAGTAGAGGGAGGTACAGTAAGTTCAATAGGTATACAGTGTATATATATTTTATTTATATAGAGCTAACAGGTGTACTCAGCTCTTTACAGGTTACATTACAGTAGAGGGAGGTGCAGTAAGTTCACTAGGTATACAGTGTATATATATTTTATTTATATGGAGCTAACAGGTGTACTCAGCACTTTACAGGTTACATTACAGTAGAGGGAGGTGCAGTAAGTGCAGTAGGTATACAGTGTATGCATATTTTATTTATACAGTGCTAACAGGTGTACCCAGCAATTTACAGGTTACATTACAGTAGAGGGAGGTACAGTAAGTGCAGTAGGTATACAGTGTATGTAAATTTTATTTTTATAGCGCTAACAGGTGTACTCTGCACTTTAATGGTTACATTATAGTAGAGGGAGGTACAGTAAGTGCAGTAGGTATACAGTGTATGTATATTTTATTTATATAGCGCTAACAGGTGTACTCAGCACGTTACAGGTTACATTACAGTAGAGGGAGGTACAGTGAGTGCAGTAGGTATACAGTGTATGTATATTATATGTATATAGCGCTAACAGGTGTACTCAGCACTTTACAGGTTACATTACAGTAGAGGGAGGTTCAGTAACTGCAGTAGGTATACAGTGTATGTATATTTATTTTATAGAGTGCTAACAGGTGTACTCAGCACTTTACAGGTTACATTACAGTAGAGGGAGGTACAGTAAGTGCAGTAGGTATACAGTGTATGTATATTTTATTTATATAGCGCTAACAGGTGTACTCAGTACTTTACAGGTAACATTACAGTAGAGGGAGGTACAGTAAGTGCAGTAGGTATACAGTGTATGTATATTTTAGTTATATAGCGCTAAAAAAGTGTACTCAGTACTTTATAGGTGACATTACAGTAGAGGAAGGTACAGTAAGTGCAGTAGGTATACAGTGTATGTATATTTTATTTATATAGCGCTAACAGGTGTACTCAGCACTTTACAGGTTACATTACAGAAGAGGGAGGTACAGTAAGTGCAGTAGGTATACAGTGTGTGTATATTTTATTTATATAGCAGTAACAGGTGTACTCAGCACTTTACAGGTTACATTACAGTAGAGGGAGGTACAGTAACTGCAGTAGGTATACAGTGTATGTATATTGTATTTATATAGCGCTAACAGGTGTACTCAGCACTTTACAGGTTACATTATAGTAGAGGAAGGTACAGTAAGTGCAGTAGGTATACTACTGCACTTACTGTCCCTCCCTCTACTGTAATGTAACCTGTAAAGTGTTGAGTACACCTGTTAGCGCTATATAAATATAATATACATACACTATGTATATTATATTTATATAGTGCTAACAGGTGTACTCATCACATTTAAGTATACATACATAAAATATGGACATGGAGACATTAGGACAAGATTTCATCAGCTACAATATTTACTTTTATATTTTATTAGGAAGAAAATGATGGTGATGGTGATATATATCTAAATCTTTCTATCCATCTATCTATCCAGTATCTATCTATCTATCTATCTATCTATCTATCTATCTATCTATCTATCTATCCAGTATCTATCTATCTATCTATCTATCTATCTAGTATCTATCTATCTATCTATCTATCTATCTATCTATCCAGTATCTATCTATCTATCTATCTATCCATCTATCCAGTATCTATCTATCCATCCAGTATCTATCTATCTATCTATCCAGTATCTATCTATCTATCTATCTATCTATCTATCTATCTATCTATCTATCTATCTATCCATCTATCCAGTATCTATGTTTATCTATCTATCTATCTATCTATCTATCTATCTATCTATCTATCTATCTATCCAGTATCTATCTATCAGTATCTATCTATCTTTCTATCTATCTATCTATCTATCTATCTATCTATCTATCTATCTATCTATCTATCTATCTATCTATCTATCTATCTATCCAGTATCTATCTATATATTATCTATCTATCTATCTATCTATCTATCTATCTATCTATCTATCTATCCAGTATCTATCTATCTATATATCTATCCTTTATCTATCTTTCTATCTATCTATCTATCTGTCTATCTATCTATCTATCTATCTATCCATCCAGTATCTATCTATCTATCTATCTATCTATCCCGTATCTATCTATCTATCTATCTATCTATCTATCCAGTATCTATCTATCTATCTATCTATCTATCTATCTATCCCGTATCTATCTATCTATCTATCTATCCCGTATCTATCTATCTATCTATCTATCTATCTATCTATCTATCTATCTATCTATCTATCTATCTATCTATCTATCCAGTATCTATCTATCTATCTATCTATCC